TCTCCTACTTTAGAATAACAAATAGGATCACATGTTTTTCCATCAGAAGATAATTGATAACCACTATCACAATATGGATAAATTTTCTTGATATTTCCATTAGGTGAACTTCTGGCTTCAGTGATGTAAATTTCATTCTTGTTGGTGACGTAAATACCTGAGATGGAGCTTGATAATTTGCAACTTGTTGCCTCAATATCATTCGCACAACCAGAAGATCCACCTCCAGCAATATCTGTAAGAGTTGTTCCATCATACTTCTTAATTTTAGGAGTTGTACTATCAGCATCTACAATGAACAGTTCATTAGATCTCCAAAATAATCCTTGAGGATTACTCAATCCAGTTACATAATTACTTTTCGTATTTGGTAAAGTAAGTTTTATGACTTTGCTGGATCCATCTGCGAAATAATATTCTCCAGCTGTCGAAACTGTGATACCAGAAACAGTATTTGTCGAAGCACTGACAGGTGTTACGGTTGATGGAGATGATAAGCTGAAATAACGAACACTATAATCTTCAGGATCAGTGAATAGCACTCTACTGTTTACACTATCTAATGTTATAAATGTTGGACTGTAGGAATTACTGGTTAATGTGTTAATATTATTATTTCCAAGATCGGCCAGTCTTATTTTATGTAAGCCTTCGTCACTAATGTACATTTTGTTGTTGGTTTCGTCAAAGCAAAAATATAATCCAGCTATTGTGAAGAATTAGTTTGGTTGACCAATCTAAAAAAACTTACTCAATAATGCGTCTGTAAGAGAAGCTCCATCAGTGGTTGTTGTTCCACCACCAACAATTGTTGTTGTTGAACCTGAAGACAGTCTTCGAAAGTAAGTCAAGTTTTAAAGATCAAATACTCACTTTTTAACTCTACTTGATATTGTGTTATATTCACCAAAATAAATATCACCACTTGTTAGTACGTGAATAGATTTCGGTGTTTCGAGAGAACTAAGTACCGTTGTAATCTTATATTTCACAGCAGCTGCATTGGAAAAGCTGGCAAACGCAACAAAACACAAGCAAAAAGTTAACACAAGCAAATTAACAAGGATATTGTTGGACATTTTGTTTGTGGATGGAATTGTAATGCCTTTCACACAATAAACGCACGGTTATGGTGTTTCTTTGTTTGTTGTCACCGTTATTGTTACACAAAAACACAACATTTACTTCTTCCAGACATTGAGATCTCATCAAAGAGTCCATCTGTTGACAAGTGATTGATTTGGTTACAACGCAAATTTCTTCTACGGTTAATGTTTCATTTTCTCTGTCTGTATCCTCACTAATTCAATGTAGAGTTGAGTAAGATCATTATTAGTGAGAGAATCAAACTTGGTTTTAGCCATTTTCCTTACTTTGAATAATGGAACTTTCTCATCAAAAATCAACTGTTTACCGTATAAAAGAGCTTGTTGAAAATCTGGGGAGAGGTTTCCAGAATTGGGAGATGTTGAATTGTTTGTTTCTGGGGATGAAGGTGAGGAATTGGCTTTAAAGTACTTGTCAATAACTTGTAAACCATTCTTGTTGATTTCCAAATTACTGACAATTGGAGATTCCATAGAAGAGGTTTCGACTCTAAATTTCTTTTCATTAGATTTTGCTGGATTTGGTGAAATGTTGGAAGAGTTGAATATTTCAGTAATTACTTCAATTCTTTCATCAGTTTCTGGACTTCCAGGAGGGGCTGTATTTGGTTGTTGGAAAGATTGATTAATATCTTGGTCAATTTTTGAAACTAGCTCTCTAGCACTCATTTTGAATTTCATCTTTCTATTGAGAATGTGAACAGTCTTTGTTTCGTCAATCTTCCATCTAGGTTCTGCAGAAAAGCAATTACAAATGCAATATCTGAATATGAAATTGATAGAATGAGGTTGAGCACACAAACTATTGAAAATGTCATTAAATCTAATTCCTTTGCAATATTCAGTTAATTGTTCCTTATATTCAATGGCTTTCTTTTTGGTGTTTGTTGCTTGTCTCTTTGAAATAATTTCTGTAATGTCATCCTTTAACTTTTTCACAACAGTCCAAGTTTCAGCAATTTGTAGTGAATTCAAATCCAAAATAATTGGTTGATAATTTCTATAGGTTTTACCAGGATGTTTCACAGATAGTGGTGCTAGACCATCCATCAATTTCTGTAATATAATTAGCATGGTGGTAGAGAGGAACATATCGAAACCTTTAGCCTTTTTAGTTGTAAATGGATTTTTAACTTTCTTCTTTGATGAAAGCTGAAACCAAATGTCAAAATTCTTTCTCAACTCGGAGAAGTTTGTTGCATACTCCATTGTTTCAATTTTGGAGAGTGCTTGAATTGGTTTGGTGTCAAGTTTAAGCCTCAAATAATTAAATATTCCAGTAGTTATTGTTGATAAATCTAATTCGAATGAAAAAAGTAATAATTTGAAAAGTATTTCCTCGTTCTGTGGGAAGTAAACTAAATTGTCCCACTTTTGGTCTATTCCCTTATCTTTGTGATAGGTAAAGTAGGAGAGAGCGACTGAATGTAAATCTTTCATTTTCTTGGATGGATTTGGTGGTAATCTCCATAAATCTTTCACAACTTGATTGTAAAACATTGGAACATCGAGAATTTCGTTGAGCAATTCCAACTTTAAATATTCGGTTGTGTACTTGAGCGCATACTGTTCTTTGTCAGAGAAGGATTTAACAATGTCGAACCATAATTGTTTCATTTCTGGTGAGGTTGAACTGGCATGAATGGTATCTATTGCCAAATCTATACTATCTGCACTGTTGGCGTAATTGCTATTCTTTCGCTTTCTTCTACCTACGTGAAATTGATTGGAAAATTTGGAAATAAGTAGGAGAGGTCTCACAATATCTGCCTCTTCAATCAATTCTGATGGTGGAATAATCCACTCAACGGTCTTTTGTAAATCGAATAGAGGATCGTGTGCGAATACTTTCATTAAGCAAAGAGATTCTCTATTAATATTCACACTCGTTTCATTGTATTGTAGAATGAAATTATCTTTGTAATAGTTATTTTTAAAATAACAGAGCGAAAAAACTTACTTTGCAAAAATGTCAAGTTTCTCCCACAGCTATCAATATCTACAATATTAGTCAAAACTTTTGTAAAGCTGTGTTTGTTGTTCTCTTCATCAAAATAGTACATGTATACATCCAGTTCAACACTGAGAAATAGAAGAACATTACCATATCCATCTCCATCGAGAACTTTCTTAATTGTAAATCTTTCTAAAAGATCCAATGTTGTTATATCGAGAATGCATTCTGCTTTATCTCTCTGAGTAGCAAGGCCACACACATAAATCCTATCACTGGCTGTCACAAATATACTGTTATTATTTACCATAAACACATCCTTAATAAGCTCCTTATTCCAAAATTGAGAAATTCTTGTTGGACTTCCAATCACAGACAAGCTATTTCCACCATTGGCCAACATTCCAAAATTATTCAAACCATACGAAAATTGGGCATTCTCTTCTCGTGTTAGGAAAATAATTGATCCCATAAAACCAGCTATTTTTTCTACGTGTATGCTTGACTGAGTCACCTGCATTGGTGTAAAGAGATTATTGTATGGAATGTCCAAATACATGCCAGCAATTCCATAATTTCTACCACAAACAAATATTTTTCCTTCGAGAGTGAGAAACATTGTCCAATGTTCCTCTGCAATTATTTCTGCAATTTTATGGCCATTAAAATTAAGTGCCACAGGCTCTGTTTCTACAATTTCATACTTGTCTGAAATTCCTAATTGTCCATCAAGATTACTTCCCATCACAAATACGTTTCCATTTTCGGTAAGTATGAAAAAATGTTTAGTTGATCCAAATACAAGTTTCTTAATAGCTTCCTTCACTACATGAAACTTGAGAATCAAATTAAAGTTGTTTTGTTCCATTCTTGAAACTGAACAGATTTCAGTTTCCTTTCTTGTCATCTCGTTGAAATAATTTTCATTGACATTGTCAACCAGTTGTTTAGAAGAAATTTTGGTTGAAGATAAAAGTGCCGAGGCAGATATTGAGAGTGGTTCATCGTCACTTGGTGATCTCGGAGATCTATTTGGTGATGTATCATTCTTCTTGAATAGAGAAATCTTTCTCTTCTTCTTTTCTTGTTTTTGTAATATTTCGTCCAAATTATTGGAGGTGAGAGAAATACTGTCCAGAATAGTTGTTGGTGTTTCCGCTGTATCAACAATTGTCCTATCAGATTTTAAATTTTGTGCCAAAAGTGTATTGAAGAAGAGACACCTTCCAATAAAATTTAATCGGTCATGTTCCAATAACAGGGCAACAAATTGATGATGAGAGAATATCTTTCTGATTTTTGAAATATCTGAATGTTTCTCCCAACCTTGTATTGATTTAAATTCTTTTGATCTGTCATTAGTTTCATCATCTTCTGACATAGTTTTTGAAGGAAAAGAATCGGAAACTAATCCTCTCATTTTAATACACCAAGGAGAAATTTCATCCGAATCCAAATCACTGTACAATTCATTCCTTGACAAAAAGGTAGGAACAGCAATTTTTGTATGTATAAAAGAAGGAGGAGAGAGCAAACTAAACTGATCAAAATTTGGTTTCTTATTGTTGGTAGTTTGTTGTATGTCCATGTAATTTTCTACAATACTTGTTGTTGTTGGTTTACTGCCATCATATTGTAACTTTCCAAACAAATCATCGGAAGAAACCTGGCTGTTGATGATGGAGAGTTTACGTGATGGCTTTCCTCTCATTTTTTTCTGATTTGTGTCATCCCTAATGACAGAAGACAACAAATTAACATTGATTACGATATTTGACGGTTAGATCCACACAACTTATTTAAACACAAAACAACATGTTGATAAATTAGAGTTTCTATTAATCAAATTCAAAATACAAATCTGTAAAACCTAGATTGGAAATTAGTGAAGGATCAGCATGATTAAGAAAATTGGCGTGGTCAAAAAGGGTTTTGTACTTTGACCATGAAACATGTGTAAAGTGAACAAGTTCGTACCATCTTCCTTTAAATGGTGAATGATCTGATACTTCACCATTGAATTGATATCTATCCCCAAATGCTTTGTAGAATATTGCCAGAGTGTAGTGATGGGGATTTTTGTGAGGATCTTGTTTAAAAACAATCATGTTAAACACATCATCATTGTGTTGAAATGTGAAATGAGATTTTGTGGTTCTCTTCTTCGACTTTTGGTGTTTGTAAATAGGAATAAATCCCTTTGATTCTTCTATTCCAAGAGATGAAGATGAGGAATAAATATTATTCGAGGTTGTTGTTGAAATTTCCGTACTAAATTTGTAAATACTACTATTCAATTTAGGTGAAGTATGTTGTTGCTTTTTGAGATTGGTGAGTTTTTTGATTTTAACATCTTCTGGATTGCTTAAATCTAGAATGAATAATTTAAAATATTTGGGTAAGCTAGTAACGTGGTGGTGATGCGTATTGAGCATTGAATCAATATTTTCAGCATTCACCTCTTTGTCTCCTAGCTTTTTCAATAGGTATTTGTCAATTTCCAAAACGACAAACATGTTATCATCGAATTTACAAACTTTTACGTATTGGCTGGGTTGATGCAGCCCACTCTCTGTATCTAAATCAAATGGGATTACATCTCCAATCGTTTCAAATCCTGTCTTGACAGAATTTAATGATCGTAATTCAAATCTTCCACTAGTTGGACTTTTTGCCTTATTAAAAAGTTTTCTAGTTGTTTGCTTTTGGAAAAACAGAACATTCAGTGAGTGAACCTTTGATAAATAGACACTCGTCTTTTGAATAATTGCCAGAGTTGTGCTACTACTGCTTGTAGGTGTTTGAGGTGTCAACTCTAACGAGAGAGAATAATTCCCATTATCATCCATTCTTCTCTTGTTCATTGAATAAATATTAAAATTATAGTCATTGTCACACTTTACAAAATTGAGCTCATTATCATTATGTACAAATTCTAAACGAGGAATGTTACTAATTTTGAGAGCATTGTGACTGGAACGAAATAGAGATTGGTAAATATCTTGTGTGATTTCATTCCCAGATTCGTCAATATCATCTGAGTCTGGGAATGAGTCCCACGATGAATAAGCATCTAGAGGAGACTTTCTATCAAAGTTAATTTAACTAATCCTCGAATTATGTAACTTACCTACTGAGAAAGTCATAATCAATTAGCTCTACAAACTCTACAGACTCTACTCCTGTTACATATTCATGAGTGGTCGAAGATTTTCGATCTCTAATTTTCATCTTGCTCACATTCAATTTAAATTTCATAATTTTCGTCACTCCAAAAAAGCAAATAATCAAATCTTCAAGCTCATTACCAAAATAATGAGTAGAAACACTTTGATTTGATTGTTGATTTTCTCTAAATGTTTCCAATCCAACAGAATAACTCCAAAAGTTTCCAGTTGGAAATCTTTCCAAATTCGAGCTCTTTGAAGCTTGTTTAATTGGCAATAATTTACAATTTACATTCTCTCCAATATTTGTACATTCCTCATCGTCAAGCCTAGAATTAATTTTCACCATCCAAAATTCTACAAATAAATTATTATACATTGAATGCCAAGGACTCCACATCAACATGTACGAATCTGCATACTCGATATTATTCTTATTTTCTTGTTGAGTTTCTTCTAGAAAGCTAAAATCACTCGATCTTGCACTGAGTTGAGTGATATCTAAACCTCCTCCAGAAGAGTTTGACCTTTTCAAACTTGGAGTTGCTGATGGAGAGGAAGGAAGACTCAAAAGAAGGCTTTGATTAGATGAAGAAGACTGTTGAGTACTACTTTTGTAGGGAGTAAGAACAGTCAGAGGAACCATTTCAAAACTCTGATTAGAATCATTACTGTTATTGTGATGGTGATGATGGCTTGTTCTACTATTGGTATTTGTATGATGAGAATGTATGGAGAGTGATGATGACCTATTAAAATTATGATGATTCCTAGAAGGTTGATGATGATCATGATGATGATGCTGTATTGTGATGAAGGGTTGTTGATTGAAATCACTGTCAGCAGCTGTGGCATCATCCGACCTATTCCGAGAAGATGTCTCTCGAAAGTCTTCTTTGAACATTTTTTTAATAACCATATTTTCAATAAATTTAAATAATTTAATATTTTAATATTTAAGCCTGTAACGGAATGCAAAGAGGAAATGTAAGGATTTTCTTTTCAAAAAGACAGTTGGCACAAAACCATTGGTACCAAGAGATTTTCCTCTTCTTCAAATTTATTATTAGCTTGATATTTCAAAATTGAGTTGTGATGAATTTCAGAATGCACTTTTTCATTGAATTCAACCTCAGGATAAGGCAATAATCAGAATTGATTGACTGAACTGTGAGCTTGGAATGGATCCAAAGTGGAGGCAAAATCCAATTCAATATCATCAATAGAACTAGGCGTGCTCAAATCTCGTAAGGCATCTGCTTGCTCTTGAACGTTCTTGGATATTTCAGAGACGTACATTGATAACTCGTTAACATTTCCAGGTTTGATTGACCCATTCATTACCATAGAAAGAGCTGGATGGGAGAATAAATTGTCACCACCTGTTCCACTTTTTCTTGGTTGACCCAAGAGAGCTTCACCTAATCCCTTGTTAAAAGTCAACATGAATTTCCTCATTTCACTATAAAAAGTTCCAATTCTTTCACTCTTATTGGTGTTTGTCAAAGGTTGGTTGATTCTCAAATCAGGAATGATAGAAGAATTGGCAAAATTGGCAATAGATTCCAAAGATTGGGTAGACCTCTTTGCTAGAAATTCTTCCAAGTCTGTAACATATTTAGCAATGTAACGATATCGTTTCCTCAGTACATGCAATCCACGCAAGTCTTTTGCTACAACACTATAATAATCTACAACTGTATAATATTGGTCTAAATCAATGCCATCCAATTTCACTTCTCTATTTACAATTTTAGGACAAGGACGATAATTTTCACGTTCTCCTCTTTCTATCATTTTACAAATTTCCAAATTAACCTTAACTGCGACCAAAAAGAAGGAAATTAAGTATGGTGAAATGAATGGGAAGAACTCTTCTTCAGTCGTCTTACTAATAGCTAGAGCAGCATATTCCAATAAATTAATGTGCTCTGCTATCACCTTATCTGATCCTGCAGTATCAACCCCATGTAAGGCACCAACATTACATCCAGATAGAAGTAACACTGTAGCTCTAATCCCATTAATACAAATGATATTGTTGAGACTGTGCAATCTTGTTGCAAAGACAGAATTATTTTGAGGGCCCATTGCAAAGTGCAGGAGTGATCCAAATAATTCCAAAGTTTTCAATCTTTCGTCCACATTCTTACTATCAGTTAATTGATAATATGTGAGATAAACTTTCCATTCTTCTGGCATTGCAAGTCCAAGCATGTCCAAGGAGAGTTTTTCAATAGTGGAGATGTTAGGGACAGGATGGGTCTCTGTTGAAATTAGTTCTGTTATGAGACACAACCAATTCAATCTCGAAATACTAACTCTATATAAAGTTCCATTCATTTCTCCATGTGGAGATTCTTCTGCAGTATGACCTTGTTTCCAATCACTCATGTAATGATTTACAAAACTGAGATATCCTCTTGCTTGTTTGGTTTTTCCTTCGGCTGCATAGAAGAATGCAAGATGGGAATATGTGCAAACAACGAAAGGATTTTCATAATCATCGAAATGATGTGACAAACTGTTTCTTGCCTTGATCATTGTTTCCTCTGCCAAATCAGGATATCCAAACTTTAATTCACACAGAGATTGAATAGACAAGAGAAATGATAAAACGTCACGACGACTAAGCAACTCTTGTGGTCCAACAAGTAATAACTTCTCTAATGCCTAGTGAAAGGTTATAAATTATTTGATTATTAGATTTCAAACATACCTCTTGATCAAATGGTGGATTACCCATACAAACAATGCTGCAATAGGTTTCAATTGTGTTCTGTTTGATAGATTTAATAGCATTGGCTGCCACTTCATTTTCATCTCCAACATTGAACATAGTAATAATGTCACCTTTTTTCTTCCTCCTTTTCTTTTCCTTCTTCTCCGCAGCCTTTTTAAAGAATGGTTCCTTATATTCACAATTCAATCCTTTAGTTGTACATCTGGTACAGAAAGGTAATTTCTTATCTAAGAATGCAGTCATTTAGAATTTTAATTATTCGAATAATATTACTTACCACTAATTTTCATTAAAAATCTAAATTATTACTGAACTAATTTCAATCACTTACCATCTATTAAAATTAGAAATAGGTTATTTGACTTGTACGTACCTTTTATGTATTTTCCTGCAATTCAAACATGCAATTGGGTGAAACTGAGCTTCTGCTCCGTCATCCTGTTCATCGACTGCAGATGATGTTGCATAATTCAATGAATCTATTGTCACATCTGTTGGATTCTGGTTCATCATGGTATTATTATTATTTAATAACTGACTGAGTAATGCACTATTTTGGGGGTTTGAATTATTTACATAACTGTAGTTCATATTATCCATTTGTTGATGTTGTTGGACCATAGTTGGTGCTTGATTATAATTTCTTTGTGCAGTTACTTGTTGATTAGAATTATTCATCACGAATTGATTCCAAATACCACCTCCCGAAGATTGATTCCATGGTTGGTGGTTATTATCCATTACACTAGTATTATTAATTTGTTGTTGTTGTTGATTAGGAGATGCTCGGTTCATCATCATTGGTTGTTGACTATTTTGATAATTATTATTTGACAATTGTGTATTATGATACATTTGTTGTTGTTGCTGAGAATACATATTATTATCGGGTGAAGGAGTTGAATTCAATACAAAATTTGGATGATTCATATAATTGTTATTATTATACGAGGAACTATGGATATTCGGAGAACCACTGTTACTACTCAAACTTCCATTATGGTGTTGGTTCATGTTATTATTAGCCATCAATTGATGTTGTTGTGTTGTTTGATTATTATTATTTGCAAAATTATGTTGAATATGTTGTTGTTGCATCATGGATGGCGATTGATTGTTGTTGTTATTATTATTGTTGTTAGATAGTAATTGAGTCATCAAACTAGTTCCATGACCACCACCTATTGGCATATTATTATGACTACTGCCACCATTAATATTATTTCCATTAAAAGCAACACCAGACGCATCATTAAAGCTCGCTATTACAGTACTATTATGTTGTTGTTGTTGATAAACATTGTTTGGTTGTTGTTGCTGATGATAGTGTGGACTTGAAAGTTGCTGATGATGATTTACTGATGGTGATGTTTGTTGTCCAATCGTGTTATTTGGTGTTGAAGATAACTGATGATGTGGATGCGAATACATTTTTTAGAATGTGATAATGCATCTTTGAAGTTGTTTGTACTACTGGTGTTCTATCAAGCAACTACCAACTCTTAAAAGTCCTCTTCTTGCAATCTTCCGATGATTCTTGATTTGTGATCTAATAGTAAAATAGACCTTGACAAATTGTATAAATGGCAGTGAAAACAATATTGTTAAGCACTTGCCCTAGTTAAATATTCATAATTTCACATTTTGTTTCGTAAGTTCTTAAACAATGGTTAATGGTAAGTATTCCTCTTTTTAACAACACCGCGCCATTATTTATTTACAGTTTTCAAATCCAAAAAAATTGCCAAACCTTTTCACCCAGGTGCGTACCAACTCGATCTGCAAAGAAATGATTGCAACCAAAAAATGAAAAAATGTCTTCTCCACAACAAGGCTAATGTACGTGTGCCGTTGGAGATGAGAGCACATTCATGAAATAGTTGATATTACTGTCCATCATTTCCATTTTAAAAGAAAAAGCATAATTTTTTGTAGCACTGTTTAGTCCTTCATGTCAAAAAATGAGAAATTCAAACCATAACTCAATCTAAGAGACCAATGAGAATGGACTTAACAGTCCAAGTGGTGAAGTGCATAAACAAAACGAATCTCAACAAAAAAAATAGTATGACACCTCTTCCAAACAGATGCCTGCCAATAATTGTTCTGGTGATTTTGTTCTTGTGGGGTGGATATTCTAAACAAGCCGAATCGCCTATCAAATATACAATCCAAACTCTCGTTAGTAATTTACAAAAACCTGGTGGCCTGCACATGTACAACAATGAGATTTACTTTGTGGATCAGTACAATAATATTGTCCAGAAAAGAAGTGCTAATGGTGATGTTACCATTATTGCTGGCAAGGTTGGTCAACAAGGTTCTACAGGAGATGGACAGTTAGCTACCTCTGCCAAACTATACTATCCATATGGTGTCTTTGTTATGGACAATATCATTTATATTGCAGATCAATATAACTGTAAAATTCGTATGGTGAGTTCTAATATCATTGCAACAAGTGTTGGGGTTCCTGGTTGTGGAGATGCTATAGGAGCCACAGGAGTAACTCAACTAGACCATCCACCAGCTATCTTTGTACCTTACACTGGCTTATATTATATTGCTGACTTTTATAATCACAAAGTTAAAAAGGTCGAGTCAGGAACTGTTACCACTATTGCAGGTACTGGAACGGCTAATTATAATGGAGATGGAATTCAAGCAAGTACAGCTCAGTTAAATGAACCCCATGGTGTTTTCGTTAGAAATGATAAGATCTACATTGTCGATAAGAAGAATCATCGAATAAGAATGATTCAACCAGACGGAAAGATTTCAACTGTTGCAGGAAATGGAACCTTAGGATTTGGACCAGATAATGTTGCTGCAAAATCTTCCATGCTGCAAGATCCAGTATTTGTCTATGTTACTCAAGATGAAGTAATTTATATATCAGATCACGAAAACAATAGAATTAGAAGAGTGAAGAATGGAATCATTTCAACCATTGCTGGTAATGGAATACAAGCCCTTGCAGATGATGGGTCAATTTCACATTTGAGTCCTCTTTCACTTCCTGCTGGTTTGTTTGTGAATGAAACTACTGGACAAATTATATTTGCAGAGAGAGGTACGAATAAGATTCGTGTTTTAATGCCAACTTGCGATAATGGTTACAACCTGAACAGTAATGGCACACAGTGTTTTACAAGCTTTTGTAATGGTATTGAGAGTATTAACTTTGCAACAGTTTGCTCAGGTAGAGGCAAATGTATTGGAAACAATCAGTGCCAATGTGATGAACCAACAAGTTGGGGAGGAGCTAATTGTGAAAAACCAAAATGTTCTGGAATTCTTCAGGGAGAATCCAATGTTTGTAATGGAAGAGGTCTTTGTTCAGCAGTTGACTCGTGTCAGTGTACAAGTCCAGCAGCATGGGGAGGTCAAAATTGTGAAAAACCAAAATGTAATGGAGTTTTACAAGGTAATGCTGGTGTATGTAATAGTAGAGGTGTTTGCTCAGCACCAGATTCTTGCACATGTAATGTACCAAACAATTGGGGAGGATCAGATTGTCAATATCCAAAGTGTGACAACATACTGTCAACTGATCCCAAAGTTTGTAGTGCAAATGGAACATGTGTTGGTGTGGGTTCATGTGCATGCAATACAAATTATACTGGAGTCTTCTGCCAATTTCCAAAATGTAATAGTATAGCAGCCAGCGACGCAAATGTTTGTAATAGAAATGGTGTCTGTACGGCCCCAAATGTTTGTATTTGCGATCCAAATTATTCAGGTCAATTTTGTGAAAATCCTAAATGTGGATCTTATTTTAAGGGTGATCCGCTTGTTTGTAACTCAAGAGGAATATGTAGTTCCATTGAAAATTGCAATTGTAACGATCAAAATAATTGGGGAGGTAACCTATGTCAATTTCCAAAATGTAATAACATTATTTCTACAGATGGAACTGTTTGTAATAGCAGAGGTACATGTCAGTCTCCTAACACTTGCCAATGCACTGATAGCAGCTCGTGGGGAGGCGTAAACTGTGAGAAACCCAAATGTTATGGTATTCTTCAAGGGGAATCTAACGTTTGTAGTGGTAAAGGGACATGTATTGGTGTAAATCAGTGTTCATGTGTTAATGGATATGGAGGAGAGAGATGTCAATATCCTAAATGTAATGGAATCTTATCTAACTCATCAATTGTTTGTTCTGGACATGGTACGTGTGTAGGAATAGACAACTGTCAGTGTTCTCCACTATATACAGGTGCGTTATGTCAGGTTCCAATTTGTTTTGGAATTAATGCAACCAACTCAACTAATGTTTGTTCAGGGCATGGTGTATGTATTGCTGGAAATCAATGCTCTTGCTCTTCTAACTACTATTCATCAGATTGCAGTGTATGGGATTGTTTTGGAATTCAAAACAATTCAACAAAGGTTTGTAGTGGACGAGGAGTATGTCAATCTCCAAATATTTGTTCTTCATGTCAAACAGGATATTATGGAAATAATTGTGAAACGTACTTTTGTGGTGACAAGATGCACAATTCCACAGATGTTTGTTCTAGAAATGGAAACTGTACTGCTCCAAACAATTGCTCTTGTTTGAATGGATATTTTGGTAATAATTGTGAAAGTTATAATTGTAGTGGTCTATTGAATAATTCCTCCAAAGTATGCTCATCACATGGCTATTGCTCTTCTCCTAATAATTGCATCTGTAGTTCTGGATATAGCGGAAACGAATGTGAAAACTATTCCTGCAATAATGTGAATCACAATTCTTCAATGGTTTGTTCAGGAAACGGAAATTGCACTTTGCCAAATATTTGTCAATGTAAGGATGGTTATTTCGGGGATAATTGTGAGACTTTTTATTGTAATGCTCAATTGCATAATTCTACAAGTGTTTGTTCTGGATTTGGCACTTGTACTTCTCCTAATTCCTGTACATGTAAGATTGGATATGATGGATTGGATTGTGAAACATTTTATTGTAATGGAGTCCTTTTCAATAATTCTAATGTTTGTTCTGGGCATGGAAACTGCAATATCACCGATACCTGTATATGTAATGAAGGATTTACTGGAATTAATTGTGACCTCTTCCATTGCTTTGGAGTGATTTATACAAATTCATCTTTAGTTTGTTCAGGACAAGGTAGTTGCATTTATCCTAACACGTGTGCTTGTAAACCAGATTATTTTGGAGCGAATTGTAAGGAAAAAATTGTAAAGGAAAAGAGATTAATAGAAATAATTGGTAAACCAAAAGCTGTTGTCAAAGGATTGAACCAAGTTATAGATATGAACATCATTGGTGCATATTTAGAATATATTAATGATTTTGAATCCATTAGACTTTCTAATAATTGTACAAATTGTACTTGGACGAATTTGAAATATTCATGGCAGATTAGTGATGGAAATCAAAAAATTTATTCGCAACCACCAGAGTATATACTTGCCAGTTTTATTGGAAGATCTACTAATGGTTTGTACAAACTTTCGTTTAGTCCAGTTCTTTCTCTAAAAGGAAGTTTTCATAATAACGGTCAAGGAAACTTGACACTGAGTGTGAAATTTTATAATTCTCAAAATCTCTCTGAAACAGTTGAATTTTTAGAAAGCATTCCAATATTGTCTCCTCCTGAAAGATTACATTCTAATGTTAATATTTTACCTCAAACAGGAATGGCCCTTTCAACGCTTTTCAACTTTGAAGAAGATTTGAACAACTGGATTGTACCATACGAGCTTTCCCCGTTAGAGTTTGCATTTGGTTTTGAATATTCGAATGTACATGGGGAAAACATTGTTATTCGAATGAATGAGTTTTCAAAGAATCTTACTTGTTCATGCTACCTTCCTTATTTGTCTAATAACAAAACTGAGTCTGCCACTGTTCAAATATATGTCATTGCAAGAGACAGTCTCTCCAATCAATATTCAAAATATTTTGGTTCAGTCCAAGTTCTTCTCAACTCTGAAGATGCAGAAACCTTACAGTATAGAATAAGACACGATGAGAGATTGTCGGTTATCCTTCCATACGATCAATCAAGAAAACAATCAAATGAAATAATATACGAATATGTGAACAGTCTTAACCTCCATGTTGAAAATCCTTCACTTACTTTGGAAGTTATTAACCAGTTGACAACAACAAATTCATTAGAAAACAAAGTAGCTTCTATCCTTAGTTCCAAATTGGAGAATTTCTTGGGCTCGGTAAATGAAATAATCAAAAGTGATAAGTCTTCCAATGGTTATCTCTCTAAACAAAGAATGTCAGAAAGCGATTTGAAAAATACCTTGTCATCTGCCAGCAATATTTTATTGAACGGATTTGTTAATGTGACAACTCTTTGTTCCCAATTATCTTCCATTATTATTAACCAACAAGCATCAAGAGTATTTTCAGGATCTCTCGATCAGAATTCATACATATCCGACTTGATCAACATTACAACTTCCACTTTTTTGAAAACTTCATCTATTGACAATGTTGTTCAGGAATTTAATGGAGTTACAATAGATACAGATTATATTCTTGCCAAATACGATGGATACTATAAGGAAATTGGATTGGCTCTCATAACCTTTGATGAGAATTTGTACACAAATGGTAATTCAACACAATTGACTAATTCAAAAGAATTCACATTATACAAATCTGGTTCTCCGTTATCATTGTCCAACTTAATTGAACCAATCTACATTAGCTTTACATTAGAAACAAACTCTTCAGTTTCTAACACTTCATTAAGCTGCCAATTTTGGAACGAAACAAATCACAAATGGGAAAGAGAAGGATGTTCAGTTTATTATTTCAACAATCAAACCAAGCAATTAACTTGTCAATGTAATCACACAACTCTCTTTGCAGCATTTGTAGAACAAGAAACTCCAACAAATGCAGAATTCCTTAAACAAGTTTCTTCACTCTACATTGCTCAAATTTCATTCGGCTCTTTATTCTTGATTCTATCATCGATTACTTTAGTACTGTTGATTGTTTTCAGAAAATCTCAACCTGTCACTAGCAGATTTGTAACTCCTTTTATTGGAATGGCAGCTCTTATCATTGAATGTGCACTTTTACTTATAACTCAGAGAGGTATTCTACTGAGATATGCTAATAGTGTTCTTGGAAATCAAAATGATTTTGAAAATAGTCAATCTACAGTTCTTCAATTACAAAATGGAGATTTGGCTGCTAATATCATTTCGAATATTTTTACAATTATTGTAAACACCATTACACTCACTGCAATCTTTTCCTACTTGTATCAAGTTTTAAGATTCCAAGTATTGAAATATTTTCATCATCAAATATGGTTGAGGTTTAATTCTAAAGAACCAAAGAGTGAAACACTTCTCAAGGTTACAAAACTATTCCTTTCAACCAAGGTAATGCTTATTGTAATGTCAGTATTTGTAACATTGAATGTATTGTATTGGACTCTGTGGGTTATTCTCATTCGTACTGGAGCCATTACAGGCACTACGTATACTCATATTGTTTCCATTTCGTTTACTTGTTCGATTCTCCTTCTAGGATTCATTATTTGTTGTATGATTGCATTGGATTGGATTATGGTCTTCCTCTCCAAGAGAAAGGAAAACGAAATTATCAAACAAGGTCAAGAACAAACAACAGATAATGAAACAAGGAAGCTCAATTTCTCTTTGAATGATTTACTTACTGGTAAAAGTTTGGAAAAACTGCAGAAATTCGATAATTTTACAACTGCAAAGAAACTTGTAAAGATTCCACTGAAAGGGGTTTATGAAAATATTATTAGATTGGATTCTCCATTATATTTCAGAGCTGAGATGTGTTTGTTTGTAATGTGTTTTACCTTTTTGGTTATTTCACAAATTATTGGCCTATCAGGATTGACTTATCGAAAGACAGACTCTTTGAAAATGTTACTATTGAATGATTCTATTTCATTACTTTTTGACATTCTCTACTTGTTCAGTTACTTGTTTGTATTTGGAGGTTATTCTTTAATTGTGCTATTTATTCACAAGATTAGAAAGAGCTCATACGAAACTAAACAAGATGAAGGAGAAGAGTTAGTGAAATTATTAGAACATGCTGAGGGTTTGCAATTGTTCGAATGGTTCTGCGAAAAGGAGTATTCCCTTGAAAATTTACAACTTTATTTGGAAATCAAAAATCAGAATAATGTTTTTGAAAACTTGGACGATTCTCACCAAGCTCAAACAATTATTCTGCATATTTATGAAACCTATGTCAAGAACGGTTCTTTGAAGGAAGTTAACATCCCATCAGATTGTAAGAAATCATTCGTTAATCTTGTACAGGACCTGGACTCTACAGATTCTAAAACTAAAGATATTGAATTGGAAAATGGAAAGAATTTTGGCAAAAAGAATCAAATTTCACAAGAATTGAAAGAGTCAATCAGAAAATCAATTGAAACTCTCCAAAATCAAGTTCTTTTCAATTTGAGTGACACCTTTTCTAGATTTATCTTCACTCAACAATTCGAAACTTATCAAGGAATTGTTAACTACAAGAATAAGTTGATGAAGCAAGCCAATTTGGAATAAAAACAATAACACTTCTTTATTGAACAAATGAAGAATCCATTACTAACTTCTTCTTGTTCACAGCATATCCAATATAATAAGGTGTTTTCTTTCTCGTAATTGTTCCATCAATATTTGCATAATAGGAAGCTCCTTCAATTAAATATTCCTTCACAAATGATGGAATTTCAATTAATCCTCTCTGAGCAACACTAACCGAACTGGAAGAAGTTTGTTCATATGAGGGTACAGTAATTCCAATCCATTTGTATCCGCCTTGCCAATTAGCAAGTTCTGTTGATAGAATTAAGGTGGATTTTGAAGAATAATAGAAACTGGTAATTAAAATTCCAAAGTTTTTCACTGCTGAAACTCCAAATGATATTGTCTTGCCTGTAATTGATTCATGCTTGAATGGAATTGAGCAAAATGGACTGTAATCATCCAACTCGAACAGATCATCCACATTCACTGTCGTACTAATACTAATGGTTGGACATGTACATTTCATAGTGTAGAGAACACTCTTTCGCCCCTCCTTACGTTCATAGGTAAGGAAAATGTGATATTCCTCAATTGGAATCTCTGTTGCCTCTTTAGAAATGTCGTGATACTTAAAATCTCTTATAGCACTTGTCAACCAAGAACTTTCAACATCTCCTTGCAAGATACTGGTAAATTCAGTACCAAGACGAAGGAAATAGAAAGATCCAGTCGTAGAGAATAACTTTCCATGGAGGAGTGAAACAGATTGATCGTTGGAATTGTGACATGAGTAAATGAACTGACTCACATAGAGAGACTTTACATGAATTGTGATATCAGCATTTCTATTGGCAGCAATTTGATAACCCTTTCTACATGAAGGAACAGCTTCAATGGCAATCAGCTTTCCATCCGTACCTAAAATGAAAAGATGGCTCTCAGTGGCAGCAATTACTGAATCTTGTAGAGTTTCAATCATTTGAGTATTGGTTGTATCAACAGAGTAACAAGAAACACCTGATGGAAGATTATTAGAACTCATTTCTGTTGCACTCTTAATCGAATGATACATGCATGTATCTGTTTCGAAATTGTGTGAAACCACAAATAAATCCTGATGAGTTCCATCGATTTGTACTGCTGTCATGGAAATTGATCTCTTGATGGTAGCATAATTAACTGAACCATCATCAATAAATGTATAATTATTGATCAAGAATGGTCCATCAGTATAGACATGACTTGTACTGCTTAGTGCAGTTCCAACAATTCCATAAATTGATACTGTCATCATGTTTTGTCTATTTCTAATAAATCTTTCCATGATAACAAGACATGTAGCTGTTCTGGCCTTCTGGAAAAAGTACATGTAATGACTCGAATGCACAAATGCTTCCAATTGAGTCCAAACAGTTTCATTATCACCTTTTGATTGATTTCTAGATATTGTAAAAGTAAATTCTGGTTGAAATAGAGATTGTCCCTGATTCAAGACCATACTATTCAAAGTAACATCCCACGATGAATTTCTCATGGCACCTCTATTGGCCACCAATGCTCTCGCTAATAAAATTGATTGAAATGCAGGAAATAAAGATACTGCAACAGTGTTTCCATCACTAATATTTAGAGATTGCATCTCTGTATTACTGTATGAGAAACCCATTCCAAATCCCTGATAAACCTTTCCATTTCCATCAATTGAAGCTGCTCTAAATGAAGAAATACTTGGTATTGCACTATCAATCGTTCCAATCCCAAAATTATGCACATCATGATTGATATATACTGGCGAAACGACATAAACCAAAATACTTGTCAATAAACACATAAACAACATGTTGAAAATAAAAATCAGAATATTCAAAACCATGCTACAAGTCAATTTAAACTGAGCCCTAGCATCCTTCAAATTATTCATTTCATTTCCAACATTCATCAAGAGTGGTTGTATTTCTTCATTCCGCTTTTTCGAGCTTGATTTCGATCGCTTTCTTCCCGTTTTCGAGGATCCAACATTTGGCGACTGATCAAAATTTACACTACTGTGGGGCATTAGATTTTCAGCCATGAAGGGAGAAGAATTGTTGGATGAGGTCGAGCTGCTCCGACTTGTTTTCATTTTTTTAAAAAAAATTAAAAAATCTTTTTAAATAGGAATCGGAGTTGGTGGATGAATAAGGAAAAACAAGATTTCGAGTTTGCTGTTGTTGAGTGAAATAGAGATGCAATTGGAGGAATATTGGATACTCTTTCAAAAAATCTTCCAGTTGGCTGGTTGGGTGTGAAAATTCAAAGATAATGTTTTGTAAAATATGAATTTGAAAATAAAAAATTGAGGAATATTTATTTACATGATGTTGGTTTCATGTTTTTGATTATATCCTCCTGTAATAAAATTCTATCATTAAGGTTTTTGTTTTGTACAATTAGTTCTAGCATAAACTTCTTGTCTGAATCTGTCGCGAAGTCAAATATTGTTTGACCAGAGTTATTCTTGACAGAAAAATCAGCATTATGTTGAGCTAGATATTGGACAACAGCAAAGTGATTGTACTTGACGGCATAGTGAATAGCATACAGACCATCAATGTCACATAAATTTACATTGGCTCCTCGATCAATTAAAAATTTGATACTTTTGAGACTGCCATATGCTGCTGAAACCAATAGTGGAGAACTATTATTGTTAACTTGAATATCCAATTGGATTGGATACTTTTGGAGGATGTATTCTGCAATTTCTACATTTGAGTAACTACAGGCAAAGTGTATTGGTAAATACTTTTCATTTCTCACTTGGAAAAGGGAGCATTGGAATTCTTCACAGAGCAATTTGAAAATTTCAATTCTTCCACAACAGGCACAGAAACTCAACAGACCAATACTCTTTTCATTTTCAACAGTATTCAAATCATATTGAATACCTTGAAGATACATTCTAATGAGTGCCTTATCATCATCAAATGAAATTAACTTGAAAAGGAAACTAAAGTATTCTGATCTGTATTGCTTCCACAAAATATCTCTCATGGCGTTCATAATATTGAATTTACCATACAAATAGGCCAATAAGAACCCATTTCTGTTGGTATTGAAGGTTAACTGTTCTTGTCCAGCTGGAACGAGCACTGGATAGATAGTCTTGATTTCATCCACACTCATAGTAATGAGTTGATAGGAAATTTCACAAACTTGGTGCACCTTTTCTACATTGCCTTCCTTAATTAAGGTTTGGAATTGAGAAACTGAGAGAGGTGTTAATCTATTAATTGCAAAGGAAGGTTGTGGAGTTTGGATGGTAGGAACTTGAGGAGGATAGGAGGTTGTTTGTTGAGTTGGACTGTTGGTTGTTCCAGAAGAGTAGTCACCATCAGAAGAGGAAGAACTTGAAGAGCTCTTTCCTGCTGAATTCATTACTGATTCATGTTGATGTTGCTCACTTGCAATTGGATTCATATTGGGAATGTTTTGAATTCTGGTGGCTAAACTGCTCAAATCACTACCATAAGGAGATGTATCTGTACTGTATGTATTATTAACATTTGTTGGAGGAGGACTGTTATTGCCAGATGAGCTTTTACCATTTGGTTTTTGTTTCTTTTTAGGAGCTTCAACACATTGCAATCCTAACTTGACACATCTGAGACAAGGTTTTTGATCAGTACAGGCAGTGTGAGCTCTTCTACATTGCTCACAAGCTGATTTGGCTTGATTTCTTCTCTTTCTCTTCTTTGCTTCTCCCTTATCATCGTCCATCATTATCATGACGTGTCCTTGATGAGATTGCATTTGAGTATTATCAAATGATGATTGAGTGGATCCATTCATAAAGTATCCATGTTGCTGCTGCTGTTGATGTGGTTGAATGGTGTTGGAATTCATTGTGAGAATTGGTTGAATTGTTGGTTGCTGATATTGTCGGACTGGAATTGGAGTCGCAGGTGTTATACCATTAGTTGTTGATGACAAAGCTTCACCACTAGCAATTTCCAATATGGTGGTATGCTCATTAGAAGAGGAGGATGAGGAAGAACTTGTCGAGGCAGTTGTGTTATGTCTCTTCTTTTGTTGCATCTTGGGAGGAAGGGCAGACGAAACTCCAACTTCATTACTGAATGAATGATACTGTGCATGATCGGTATGGTAATAATTCGTCGTCGATTGACTTGTCATTGGTTGATGATGAATTGATGGTGAGGAGGAGACAACAACATTCGGATGAGCAACTTGATTGGTAGTAGAAGCTAATGTTGTTCTTGGTGTTGAAGGAATGCTTCCCACAAGAGTAGGATTGAACGCTACTGAGGATGCAACAACATGTTGTTGTTGTTGTTGTCTAACAAGGATGGAGAGGAGCTAATAGTTGATAACATGCTGTTGAGAGTTTTAACAATAAATTAGGGGAGAGGGTTGTAATGGGAATGTGTTCTTTCTCTCTTTCAACAAACAGGCTTTATGAATGCGCGTATTAATAGGGAATATTGTTGTTATTATTGTTGTAGTAACAAGAAGAAGAATAATAATAGATTTGATAATTGATAATTTTCGCTTGTTCAAACGTATACTTGTTCATAAAAATAGTATTAATATATATTGGGATAGTGTAGTAGTTTGGATTATTGTTATTGTTATTGTTCTCTACACAAGAGTTTGAGAGTTTGTCTAAAGTTTGGGGTGAGAGAATTTACGTGCTTTTTTTTGTTAAAATCTTCCGAATGCCTTTCCGAGAGTTGAAGAAAAGACACAGCGAAAAGGAGACGGAGTTTTTGCTCCGAAGAATTTAATTGATTTTTTCTTGCATGGGTGTGCCTCTTGTTAACTTGTAGTTGCCTTAATGGAGAATAAAATTGTATTACAGAAACTTATTCGGCCTTAAAATCTCCTTTTGGACTTGTGTAAAGTCTGGACCAATCACTAGACTGGGCAATTGTCCAGAAAGCATTCAAGCATCAATTGAGCAATAATATCTTTCTGTTTTACAAGAGGGAAATATTCCTCTTCATGAAGTGCAATAATATCTTGATAATAGAAATATTGTTTTGGAAGGAAGTGCAATACATGAGAAATTAAATTGTAATTGTTGAGAACTACCAAGCAGGAAACTTCCTAATTATTTTGAATTGTTTACTCAAATATTGATTCAACCCTTAAATATTTTCATTCCTTTGACTTTTTACTTCGATATCCATTATTTGAATTCTTCAAATATTTTATAATATAATAATAACAACCCAATCCTACAAGTATTAACTTCAAAATAAAAAGAAACCAATATCCTCATAAACAAAACAATCCAAAACATAACCCTTTGTAACCATCATTACTTGTAACAGCAATCCATCCCGTTTCTATTCAAAATTGTCACATGTCCACAAGTTCGTACAACACTTTCTAACCTAGACTTTATTGAAAATAAAAAAAAACAACAGCTTCCCCATCGTTACGAACCCACGACCTACTTTGTTCTCTCACCAAAGAATCGTTACAGAATAAAAAAGCAAAAAAAATGACCCACCACAGTGAGAATCATCGATGTGATTCTGAGGTCGTTGTTGTTGAATCTTCATCTTCTTCCGTTATAAGAACGTTGGGTGGTTGTAGTGGTAATGAAAATTGTACAAAGGCTTCTGAATGTTGTAAATCTTCTTCAACAACTTCAAATGGAACAGAGGGATTGGAAAATAACGTCTTTTCAGGTAGAGTTTCAACTTGGTCTTTTTCGAATATTTTGAATATTTTGTTGAACATTTTCGAATATTTGTGTTTTATTATAATCATCTCGTTACGAATTGTATATTGTATTTTGAATGAATAACAACAATAATTATTGGAAATACATATCATAGATGAATCACCTGTACTTCAATTGAAAGTAAATCATCATCACCAAGAAAACAAATCAAATAGTTTTGATAGTAATAGTAGTAATACATCAAGTAGTGCACCAACTCCTTCACCAAAAACTGTGATTCAACACTTTTTACATGATAGAACAATGCCAATTACTATTGATTTTCCTCAATTTACAATTCCTTCATTGAACGAATTGTTTGTCACTAGACACGGAGAGAAAACTTCTCAACTCATTAAATATGGTACTGGTACATTTACTTCTCCTCCTTCACCTTCATCAACACCTAGTACTCCAGTCGATGCTAATGGAGATTATGAAGCAGATCCACCATTGACTGATAGAGGATTCTTTTGTGCATCAATGTTGGGACAAAATTTATACAATGAATATATTTTGAAAAAATTAGAACAGTCAATTGACCTTCCTAGCAATGATGAACAAGTTAGAAAAACCTTTCAACTCTACACTTCACCATTTCACAGATGTTTACAAACAACTGAAACCTTATTGAAAGCTGTTTTAGAAGAAGCTGAAAAGGATGGTTACAAGTTAAATGTTCAAGTTTTTATTGATTTTGGATTGATGGAATTTTATGGATTGAAGAGATTGTGGTCTTTTGATATGATGCCTCCTAATATTGAAACTATTAGAAAGGAGTTCCCACTTTTGGCAGAGTATATTGTAGAACAATATGATAGTAGTGAATTAGATTTGGAATCTGAATATTTTGCTTTGAATCCAACTAATTACCTCAAGTATTTCACCCAATTGAAACAACACGAGTTAATGTATGATCTTATTAGAAGAGTGAGAGGAACATTTGTGAATATTCAAAATAATGTGAGTCAACTCAAACAATCTCTCAATACAACGCAAGATCCAACAGTTCTGATAATTACTCATGCTGCTACCATGATTAGAGTTGTCGAGGAAATTATTGGAATTTATCACAGACTTCCATTAACCGAGAGAATTAATGTCAAGGCAAGCATTTGTGGATTATCACACATAACGAGAAGTGCTCCTGACGAATCAAACAAATCCGAGCATCACCACAATTCTCATCATCAAAATCATTCGAAACTTCATCCATGGAAACTCGTCACTAACAATGACATTTCATTCATGGAAAAGGTTGAATCAATCAATTGTACAAGACCTCCTTTCTATTATCAAATCGATTCTTCGCATTATATTCATAGAAAATAATCTCATTCACAACAACTATTACACATCAATTCACACACTTTACAACTAGACAACAATTTGTGTACAGAAACAATTCAAACTCTAGGAATAATTTAATAAAGACTTTATTGCCTTTTTTCAGTATGTCCTTTAATTAATACTTTTCCATTTACAAACCCAATCTGTGTGGTATTAATAAGGGAAATAAAGAATTCACGTTTCAATACTTTTTTAAAATTTTATTATTTAAATTAAATATTTAAAAAAAATGAGTGAACGAAAAAGGCTTTCAAATGGGAATAACTCTAAACGTCATGATGATGATGATACGGAAGAGAGTGAAGATGAAATGCCTTCATTAATTGATTCAGATAAAACTTCGGAAGAGGATGAAGATGAATTGCCTCCACTGGTAGAGTCTGATGATGATGAATTGCCACCCTTGGTAGATTCTGAAGCCTCCGATAGTGATGATGATCTTCCAGTATTGATCGATGATGAAGACGATTCTGACTATTCTGATGATGAAAATTGGGAGACTGATTCTGATGATGATGATGATGAAGTCTGTGCAGAACATTATTTAGGAGATGATGGAATTGTTTATGATCGAGAAACACATGAGGAGGCTTTACCTCCTCTTGTCTCACCTACATCCTCGGAAGATGACGAAGACTCTGATGAGGATGAGGAGTCTGAATCAAGTTCTTCATCCGATGATGCTAATTTTCCACTTTTCATGCCATCAAGCCGATCGGCCAGTAGAGTAAATCAGAGAAGTACTATTAATGGAATTAGCAGAAATATGATTAATAATAATAGACAGAGAATAAGGGCAACAAGAAATCCTCCTTTTGTGTTACCTGGACTGCCTCCTCAATTTTCTCATTTTCCTATTTCTGATGAAGAGGATTTGGATGTGGATGAAGATTCTGATGAGGATTCTGATGATGATAACCCATTTAGAAGCCCACAAATTAGAGATACACAGGGAATTTCACATAATTCCACACGATCAGGAACACACAACAAGTATTGGACTCAAATTTCAACACGTGAAAAATCAAAATTGGATGCACTCTACAAGAATGCTGAGGATTCATTCAAGTTTACTACATCACCAGCCTCTTCTTCGACTGAGTCTCCAATAATTTCCATTCCAATAGGAAATGAACTTCAATTATCTATTCACAATATGGAAGAATTTTTGGATGGTATTATTCAAATCATTACTTCACACTCTCTGCATGCAATGGAGGTTTCTTCCCTGTTCGAATATTCGAGAATGGCTCAGAAACAAGTCGTTCAAAATAGAAACATTCTTCTTTTGCTGGCTCTCATGTTGGCAATTAAAATTAAGTATTTGAAGGATTAAGTTTTGGAGAATTGACAGAGAGATTCGATTAATGAGCCAATTCAAATATCAACAACACACTCAACTTGGTGTGAAATTATCAAAAGAGTGTGAAAACTACAACTAGATTTTGATAAAAGAATGAGAAATAGGGTGAAGAAAATGATATGCAAGATCTTCCTTTACAATAAGGTGAAATCTTACTTTGCCAATAAATTTACATGTTGCTGATATTCGTTTACAAATTATTGTTTATTCAGTATTAATACTCCAACCAATCAGTCAAAATATGAATAGTGGTATTACACGATATTACACAATTTATTGAGACTTGTTCAACATCTTTGAGATGAATTGTTCATAATCAAAATCTCCAGAATCCTTAGCACCAATTTCGTTTCTCATTTGGCCCCATTCTTGTTCAGTGAATTTTTCACCCCAATTACACAAGGCATCCTTCAATTCCTTGGATGGAATACTTCCGTGTCCATCTTCGTCAAAAGCACGGAAAGCTTCTCTGATCTTTTCTTCACGATCACTGTTATTATTATTATTGTGTGTTGAATAATATTTTGTATTTTCATCATCATAGCATCGTTATCACATCACCATCATGAATATTTGTTTTTAATAAATATGTGATTAAAATAGAAAAGGGCGGGAAACACCATCATCACGGAAAGGAAATAAGAAAATAAATCGATAATGATAACACCATCACATGATGATAAATAATAGAAGCAGCAGCACGCTGGTTAACAACACACGTTGAAAAATAAAAAACTTACGTGTTCTTCAATTTTTGTGAGAGAACAGTCAAGAATTCGGTAAAACTAATAAAACCAGTACGTGATGAGTCGCACTCTTCAATCATCTTTCTAATGTCGTTTTGTGACTTGTTTTCACCCAAAGATAAGAAGGTCTTTTCCAAGTCAGCTTTGGAAACTTTTTGATCTTCATCTTTATCGAAGAAGGCGAAGGCTTCCTTGTACTCTTTGATTTGTTGTTGGGTTAATTGTTCAGAGGACATTTTTGTATGTAGTCTGTGTTGGTTGGTGTTTGTGTGAAAAGTGTTTGCTTTTTTTTTTAATGAAAGAGTTTGAGTGGTGATTGATGGGTAATCAATTTGTGAAGAGTTTCAAATGTCGTCAGTGATGAGTTGTTGACGGGTTTGTTGCTTCAGTGTTGATATCTGAAGCATGTTAAAAGGAAAATGGCTGTCATCAATTTTTTATCATCTAACATTTTGACCAGTGACAGAAGGTTATTGGATATCATTGAGGATGATGGAAAATGTTTACATTCATATCAGTTGTAGTGAATGCATGATTCGAATAATTCTGATTTGGATGAAAATTAAGCCGAAATGAACCTTGGCTTTATTTCACAATCTTTAGTTTACTTTCCAACAATGAAACTAATCCACAAATGAAAAGCCTTGATAAACAAATCTTGTGGCAAGCAGTTCATGGTTTGGATGCGACATTTCAGAAAACTCAAACATGAATTCCTGCCTAAACCGAATACGAATCAAATTTATTCGAAAGATTCTTTGATGAAATTATTCAAAATTTCCACAAGAAACTCTTTTGTGCAACCATTTCATCACCAGGGTTTCTCCTTGGTCCAATCCAACAAATAGCATAGTTATTCGAAACATAGTCAACCGAAAGCCAAAGATTGGTTGATACTTGTTGGATTTTTAAAGATATTATAAACCAATGTTTCTAAAGATTGTTCCACCACCAGTAGAATTTTTCTTTACTAGGAACTCTAAACAGATACCGTGAAAATGTCAATTAAGAAGTGTTGCCTAAATTCTTGGACAACTGACGCAAAATATAAAAAAATTATTGAGGAGTCGGCTTATTTATGATATGTACGGAAGACAGACACTTCACATTAAAAAAAACAAAACAAAGTCTTTCGCAACTTGAAGTAATCTTGTTATCAAGTCCATCAACTTTTTTCAATATTATTCGAAAGCTTTCGTTTGCATATTGAGAAAGAATGACATTCAGAAATATTGGAGATGATTTTCTTCAAGATGCATATGTAATCCAACAAACCCAGTCACAGAACGCAACCTCCTTCTCATTTGACTTGTACAGTCAATTAGTGGCAGGAATTGACGGAGGTCCAATTTTTATTTTTTTAATTTTCTTTGTTGTTCTGTTGGTGTATTATATTATTCAATTTCGACAATTGAAACGGAATCAGCACATCTTGTATTGGATGAATATTGCTTTGGCTTTCTTTTCATTCTTTCAAAATGTCACGAGATTGTCAAGTGAATTGTCATTTCTTAATCCGATTTATAGAGTGGCATTTGACTTGAATAATGTAATTAAGGGTATTGATAGATCAATGAGTGCAGTCTTGTTGTATAATCAAATTTTAATCATGGGTTTTATTGGATTTGTCTTGTAAGTTTTCACAAATTTTTATTCGATTCATTTTCGTCTAGTTTAAAAACTACTCGTTTGACCAACTATATAACCGAAAAGGAATTCAAAGCATCCAAATACCTTCTCATCTCTCTCCTAATCATCTTTTTTGTGTTATTCTTTCTTGGTCACATTTTAGTTATTGCAGTTTTACATGGTTTGAGAGGAAGTGGAATTTCACCAATTAGTCAACAGCAATTATCCATCGTAATCTTTATCACTCCAATGGTTATTATGTTTATGGGAATGGTAGCCACTGCAATCTTTATGAATGTAAGTAATTGTTGAATTTCTTCATTGTAACTTTTCGAATAATTTCGAATAGACTTATGGTTTCAGATTATACAGAGCTCTCAAAGCAAGTAAGAAGAAAATTAGAGAAATGATGAAGAGAACGACACATCACTTGGAAGAGGGTGGTTCCTCAACTGCTCAACCTTATGAACTCGAAGATTTGACAAGCACAAGTGACAATGTCAAAAGTGCTTCTTCACATGACAGCAAACATCAAAACATTGACATCACCCCAACCACTCCCATTCCAGACGCCAACAGCATCCAATCCCCAACTAAAAAAGACCAATCCCTCACTTCACATGTTATTGACAAGTCATTTTCCAAATCTGTCAACAAGACAAACCAAGAAATCGACAATACTTATCAACTCAAAAAGAAGGCACTTCGAAAATCTCTTGGACTTCAAATTGGATTAACAATTTGCTTTTTCATCCAATTATTGGGATTGGCATTTCTACCTGGAGCAACTGGATGGCAATTTTCATTGTTGTTTTATCATTGCTTTTCGAATATTGCAATTTTGGGATTTTTGATTATTCAATTGGTGTTGATTTCACCGTTGAGAGAGGTTCAGAGGTTGTTCAAGACTCCTTCGAATTTGAAGGAGAAAGTTGGGAAGAAAGGTAGGAAGAAAGTGGCAGAAAGTGAGAAGGGAAAAGTTGTGCATCATTCGGAGGTTAAGGAAGGAATTGAGGGAAATAATGTTTGAAAACATATTTAGGATATATTTTATTGTAAACTAGTGTGAAATGAACTTGATACTGAGATTCGAATAAGTTGGTGGAAATTAACGTTTTGCTGGAAATTGAGAAATCTCTCATGCCACTGGCTGATGAAGAGAGATGACGAAATAAATCGAACTGAGAATTGAGAAATTAAAAATAAACTTCAACAAACTTTCGAATAAATTTTTAATAGGAAAGTTGGATAACTTTCAGCTCTCAGCTGAGATCCTGATCAATCGCGGAGTAAATAGATATCAGTTATTTCGTACAGAGAATGAGAAGAGAAACTATTTACTAGAAAATTCCAATCCTTAGCCGAAAGTTATTCGAAACAATCAAAAAAAACGAAATGACAATTCTCTGTAATTCAAACCAACTAAATGTACCATATGAAATCCTCTATCAAATTTTCCAATATATCGACTCTCCAACACAATTATTTTCTCTCAAATTAGTCAACTCTTCTTTCCGAAACATTATCGGAAACGAAAGTGATTCGAATTGTGTCAAACAATTCTGGATTGATAAATTGAAGAGCAGTAACTGGTTACTAAAGATGATTTCTCTCAATTCGAAACCTCAAACTTTAATTAAGAAATGCCAATTATTAAATCAATGGGAAAATGATGATTGTATCAAATATTGGACGAGTAATTATTCAGTTTCGAATGGTGATAGAAGTAATAAGGTGTTTAGAAGTGTTTCTATTGAGATGAACGAAAGTGGTGTTGTAATGTTCAAGTCATTGGTTAAAAATGATGATTTGAGTTTTGACATTTGTAAATCGACATATATAGATGTGGTAAGGATGATTGACATTCAGAACAGGCTCTGTAAAGTACACGCTCCTTTGAAGGAACAACATAGAATGACTTGGAAAGATCCAAGTGCAAATAGCTCTGTAAATTCGCCTCTCATTCCATTTATTATTCCAATGACAAGTGACACTTCATCTTCAAATATTTTCACTGATTTGAGCAATTTTCTGGGAGTTAATCCAGCCCTTATCGAAAACAAAGATCGATATATGAACAAATCTATTCAAATTTCTCAATCTGACATTCAGACATCTGTCAACAATCATCCACTTACTAACACTAACGATTTAACAATTAATTTTCAATCCATTTTCCCTAAAGAACAGTTCAATACTGAATTTACGACAGAAATTGAACAATTTATACGAAACGAAATTGAAAATCCAACTTTAATTATGATTGGACTTTCTCAATTAAATCCAATTCCAATTTTCATTATTGGAAAGTCGAAATCATCAATAGTTGGAAAGAGTTTCAACTATGTTGGTTTCATGACCAGTTCTTTCAGAGTTCCAGAATTTGTAGAATAAATTTTTCACATTTTTCACACATTCGCAACATTGCTTAAAGTCACATGTCCTATTTAATTGAGTGTATTCAATAAGCACAATGACCAATAGCATGGAAATGGCAACTTTACAAAATGATCTTCAATCAGTAGATTTTTCAAGTTTATAAAGTAATTAGAAAAATTAAGGCTTATTTCTTAATATCATCAAATAATTACACAAAAAAAATGTTCTTTGTTGGGCAGCCTGTTTGGGTGAGATTTAAGGAGGACCGTCCTTTATGGCCTGTAACGGTTTGTATTATATCATTAAAATAATAATTAAATAACAATAATAATCATCACACAGATATGTAGTAGAAAAGAGATGGTGCCGATACTAGATGCACCCCCAGCAGGAGCTTTCTTTTTTAAATTTGAGTCTGGTCAATATGGCTATGCTCTACCAGACCAGATATTTCCGATTGATTCTTTAGCCTTGGATGATGTAATTAACTCTATTCCTTCTTCCAAATCTGAATATATTGGTTCGATACAACAAGACTTCAGCTTAGTGAAGAATAAGAAGGCAACCACCACAGAGGTTCTTCCACAGCCTAAATTGTTGGTCCAAGTTAAAAAAAGAACAAAAGGAGATTCAGAAACTCTACAAGTAACTGTAGGTTTGAAGAGAAAATTTGAGGAAGCAGACCTACTCATGGATGACGAAGTACCTGACGAATTGGTTGATCCAGATGAGTTGTGGAGTATTTTGAACATTTACAAGTAAGTAAGACATGTATGTTTTCTCACCAATAGTTTCAAAGGGTTTATGGGAATTCTAGAACATTTTGGAATGACTTTTCGAAACTTGCAGTTTCCATTTTCAATGGATGAAATAGAGCCAAACAGTGTGGCACACCAAATATTTAAAAGAAATTCAAGTCTACCATCGACTTTAAAGGGGTATTTATGTAGTTTCCTTACATCTTTTGGAATTAAATGGACAAAGCATAATAATCTTCCAAAAGATGAGAAACTTTACTTGTTTTTGGATAAGGAATACAATGAATCTCAACAATTAGCCCAAAAATTAGAAAAAACACCTCTTAAACACCAGTTTGATTTGTTGCGCTTCTCTTCCTCCTGCTTATTTCTTCCATTATTTAAACTCCACAACATGATAGAATCTAAAACTGAAATTACTGAAATGACATTCAAGGATTATTTCTTAATGATTTTCAACCGTTATCACATTTTTTCTGATTTATCATTGGAAAATAGAAATAGTTTGTTTTTCAAGAGTGGTGAAAAGTTGGCTTCTCAAAGTTTGAAACTGTCTCTAAATATTATGAACAAGAAATGGGTTGAAGACACTAGTAGAATGCATTCTGACTTTGTAATTATGCGTACTAATGCACAACTAGATCATTATTTTGCGATAGGTGAATTTGAAAAACGTAACATTAATGCTTCCAATGCAGAGGAGTTCCTTTGTGCTCACAAAGACACTGTTAAAATCATTCTGGAGGGAAGGGCTGTTTTGAAAGATATTGCAACTAAAATGACGCAGAAAAAAATAGATGATGAATCTAAAAAACAAGCAGTGGTAAAACTGTTTCTAATCGATACCAGTGGAGGGCTTGTTATTCTGAAGATGAAGCCAAGATTTCACCAAGTAGAAAACACTTTGCATGGGCTTTATTATAGCCTTTCATATTCTAAATTGCTTAACATTTTTATTAAGGAAGATTTATTCTCCATTATGTCAGAAATAGACGAATGTATACGTATGGCTTCCCTGACAAACTACCAACCAAGTGATAACTGTTCAATTGCCGCTTTATGTTCAACTCCTATCACTTTAAGATCCCAATCAGTTGTTGACAAATTTTTTACACTTCCTGTTTCTTATACTTCACGTATTAAGCTCAAATGCTTATCAGTTGCCGAAGAAAAGGATTTAGAAGTTTATTTACAAAAAACATATCCATATTTTATTGTTAAAAAGACAGTTCTACTTGCAGGGGATGCTACTGATAGAAACATTCCTTTTATGGTTTATAAACAAGGTGATTCATTTGAATTTAATTCCACTACCAATCCTCCTATGTACTCAAATCCTATTGAGGTTGGTTACATGAAGTATGATGGAGAGATATTGGTTCAAGTATTAGAAATCACCAATACAAAGAGCGTTAGCAGTAATATTAACCAACTATATGATGACAGTGACGATGAAGAAGATTCGGATGACAATTGTTTACAAAAATTTGGCAGCCATGGCCATTGTTTTGATTTGAACACATTCAATTCAGAATCACCTTCATCCAATTATGACGCTAAAATGTTAGAGTTAACTTTCATTTTCTTGCAGATATCAGTATTCCATATGTAATTTTTGGTGTTGTAACTGCACCACATGCAAGTTATCAAACAAGTGTCACTATTTCTGAAAAGCTACTTCCTCTGAATGAATCAAATTTAGTTCTTAAGCACACGGATTCCAACTCTCAACTGATGATTCTATTTTATGTCGTTGACGGATGCTTAAGAGCTAATCATTATTTAATTAAGGAGTTGAATTTACTTCACCATGACTTGGCATTAAGAAATTTAATGACAAGATCTTCTTCTAACAATGAAAAATCTCAACTTAATTTATTAATAGAGAGAATGTGCGGAATTCATGATCCACAAACTATTGTACTAGCCGACATTAATAACTGTAAAGAATACAGACCAGAGTTGATGAAAGAAGAGATGCTAACTTTGGGAAATATGTTCCTTCAGATCTTTGCATTCTTATTTTCAATTCAATTAAAATCCAAGAAGAAAATAACAGGAATTCTTAATGATTTGAATTGTTGTGGAGATGTTGAAATTGTTCGCGATTGGATCTGTAACCTTATTTCTTGCTTACAAAATTTCACATTCAAACCTTTGATCTTGACCACCAAAAATGAAATCATCATCAAGTCAATCTCAGAGCTTGATACAATTGTTGAATCTTTACTGAGGTGTTAAGTAACAAATAAATACTTGTTAAAGTCTTGTTGAAGAAAGGAACTTGTTTACAACAAAAGATGAACATGAGTTCCATCACGTTGCTGCAACTTCCAAAAATACAAAGAAAAAAAATGATCTCTTCAACAACAAGCAATGTTGCGAATAGTAATAACAATTTGGCTGAACGATTGTTGGCCAGTGTAATTTTGGGTGCTGTTGGTGATGCTATTGGTAAGTTGTTGGCAATTTGCGCGATCGGATCATATTTAATTATTTATTAAATATTTAAAATTCGTGATGATGATGAACATTGTTATTACAAATTGGATCATTTCTGTTGCTGTTATTGATGGAATTTTAATCATTAATAGGATATAGAAATGGTGCTTGGGAATTTAATTTTGATGGTGAAACTATTCATGCTGAATTGAAACATTATTATGGAAGTTTGGCTGGAATTGATGTCAAGGGATGGAGAGTTTCTGATGATACTGTAATGCATTTGGCAAGTTTGAGAGCATTGATTACCTGGATGAAGCAAGCTAGAAATGCAGCAAATAGTGACAAGACATTGGTTTATAGTTTTGATGAAAATAATGTTGAAAGTTGTGCCAAGTTTATGAGCGATTTTGTTGATCCATTAATGCAAGAAATGAGTAAGGAATATATTATCTGTTGGGATGATATGGGAGGAAGAGCTCCAGGTCCAACTTGTAAGTAGTAGTTTTAACTGTGTGTTTGTGATTATTGACATTTTTAGGTGGAAAGGGAGTTAGATTTTTGGAATCTCGTGGTGTTGAAAAATGGAATCTCTATCCATACGATAAGAGAGGAGGTGGTTGTGGTGGCAGTGTATGTATTATTTCATCATTGGTTGTTAATTGATAATCTTTATTCTTTAAATTGATCTAACATTTCGAATTAATTAGATGAGAGCCATGTCTATTGGAGCAGCTATTAGTGGAGTTGAAAGACGTGACATGCTCATTGCTTGTAGTGTAGAATCAGGAAGATTGACTCACAATCATCCAAATGGGTTCTTGGGATCATTGGTCTCTGCCCTTTTCACAGCCTATGCTATTGAACAAACTATCCCAGTTCCACAATGGGGAGTTTACTTCTTGTACGATATCATGCCAAGAACTAGAACCTACTTGCAAAAGGTTGCTAAAAGAGATTGGGAAGAAATGAAGGAAGAAATTACCAAGTTCGAACAAAAGATTGCTCAATATTTATCTGAAAGAGGATTATTCCTCAGTGAAGAAGATTTCAAAAATTCTCAAAAATTGAATGCACTCTCTGCTCAATTCCCAAAGAAGTATGGAATTGCTGAAAGAGATGAATATTACAAAAAGTGGTCATTTGCTGGTTGGGCTGGAGCATCAGGTGATGATTCATGCATTATTGCCTATGATGCCTTATTGTGTGCTGGTCCAAACAATTATGAAAAGATGATGTTGCACTCTGCCTTGCATGCAGGTGATTCTGACAGTACTGGTACTATTGCTGCAGCTTGGTATGGAGCTATCTATGGATTCAATAATGTTTTCAAGTCTAATTGGGACAATATTGAAAAGAAGAAGGAAATGACTCAAATTTCTGAAGATTTATTCACTCTTTACTATTAAATAAACAAATTAATTTATTCAAGAATTTAACTCATCTTAAATTACTATTGTTGTGGAATAAATTCAATTATTGCCCTGATTGGTAAGTGCTGATTGTACTTGCAACAGATTTCCTCTTCTTCCCAATAGTTTTTTGATATTTTCCATCATCAAGTTAGGGAGCTACTATTCTAACAATTTAGTCGATACTCTTTAGTGTATTGGGGATACACGCAAATGACCAAATGGCATTCTCTGCCCAGTAAGTGTTTCAATAATTTGCTCATACGCCATTTTTGAATTGTAAACTCCATGTGGAACGAACAATCCATCCAATTGAAAGATGTAATAATAAATTGAAAAGAAATGCATCAAGAATCCACACACAGACAATATATGCCAAATTGCATGAGCAAATGGAATGACTCCATCCTTTTTTAGAAAATAAACTCCACCAGAGAAGAATATTCCTCCAAATAGTAAGGTCAAGAATGCCTCCAAGGGAACATGAATAAACATTGAGGTTGGCATGGCAAGTAGAGCTGCCCATCCCATCAAGTTAAATAATGCATTATTATTAATAAATGCCAGCAATCTTCCTTCTGAAAATGATTTTACCAAGCCACATATTGCCAATAACCAAATAAATGCAGCCATCAATTTTCCATAAAAGTTTTCATGGCCAATACCAACTACGAGCAAGTATGGTGTATAGGATGCAGCAATGAATATGTAAATTGTTGCATAATCAATTATTCGAAACCAATAGGTCTTACTTGATTGTTTTCCATGAATTAAACACATGACATGATACAATGTCGATATGGATAATAGAATGAAAAGACTCGAACAATACAGAACAGATGAAATCATCTCTAATTTCGTATTTACAACATGTGAGGTCAAGTAGAAAATATACGAAAGTATAATTAATGGAATGCCATGTGTCACAATGTTTGCTACTTGCTCAACACGTGAAGGTTCATAATCTTCGGCATTTAAACTCTCTGGAAAATCATTCATAAAGAATGAACATAAAGCACATCCACAACCGTTAGGTTTCTTTTTATAAATATTCGAATCAACGAGGTTAAACTTTTTGCTGTTACTATTTAATAATGAGAAGCGAACGGTCGTTGTTTCTGTTGGTAATACGTGTGACGAGGATGAGGTGGTGGTGTGGTTTAAAGTCATTTTTTTTTTGGAATATTCATTTTATAAAATATTCAAAATCGGTACTTGATAATTTTAGAATATTCCTTAACTTTACAATAAACAATTATGGAAATTTTTGTCATTTTTAGAAACCAATTAGAAGAATAAAGGAATCGAATCTTTTGATCAAAGTTTCTGTGGTGACCTCATTCAAACTACAGCTGTAGATGGGAAGAAATTCAAAGTATTTCAAAAAATATATATTGAAAAAAATAAAATATTGTTTTTGGACTAATTGAATATTTAGAATATTTGGATTCAATTAAAAATATTGAACAAGTCCAATAACAGTTCCTTTCCATAAAAAATAATTATGAGTAGTGACAGCAAGTGACATTTCAAGATTTTCAAAATCTTACCAAATATTCATCACATCCACCATCATTTCCTTTATCCACCCCAACCTCCTAAAAAAAACAAAACTTTAAAAAAAAATGTCAAATCAATTACCAACAGCTGACACCTCTCACCAATTCCTCTCCCTTCCCAAAGAAAAACACACTGTTCAAGGAGGAACAGCCAACTCTTCCACAACCAACAACGACAATTCTAAAAGTGGTCGAAATGGTCGTGGTTTCTATCTCGTCCTTCCTTCATGTTGTTGTTGTTTTCTAATGAAGAAGAAAAAATCCTATCGAATTTCAATGGTCAAGTTATTGTCAGTTTGTGGGATTGTGGTGAGTGTGTTATTGTTGGTTGCGTTGGTAGTGATCTTTCCACAAACTTTCGTATTACGTTCGCAGGTGGATAATTTCGTATACAAGACGACGAAAGATGTGTTGGTTATTCAGCAGTTGATTACGAGTGGGTTGCATTTGAAGGCTTATTTGAATATGAGTGATAGGAGTATTTTCGATCAGGATTCGTTTATTGTGCATCCGAGTGATGGCTTGACGAAACTTTTGAATAATCAAAGTGCTCATTCGAATAATAATTTGGATAATCATTTAGAGGCACATCAGGATTGGATTGATAGTATGCTGAATGAGATTTTTAATATTATTCCTGTAGAGGATTTTGCTAATCATGATTATGATAAAAATGTTGTGATTAGTGAACTAATGGATGCTCATTCGAAACTGAAAATTTTGGAGAAACAGATTATTGATGTCAACTCAACTGGGACAGCTATTGCAATTATTGAAGGAGAAGAATATGAAGGTTTAAAAGAAATGTTTGAAAAAAAGATTGCCATCATTGAAGACATGTCATCTTACTTGTCAGATACTGAAGATAATTGGATGGGAATTTATACAATTATCATTTCTTCAGTGACAATAATTGCATTTATTATTGTGCTACCTGTCATGATTTTCCTATTCGTGGCAGCTCTTAATAAGGAAGCTTTGAATAGAGAAAGATTAAAGAAGGCCAAAGCTGTCATGCTTTTAGATGTGATGAATGATCCAAAATTGAGAGATTTATTCAAGCAACATTGTAAACAAGAATTATCATTGGAAAATTATGAAGTTTTGATTAGAACTAATTTGTATCGTGAATATTCGAGACAAATTTGGGAAATGCAAGATATTCTCTTTACAGACACTAGCTCTACAAGTGAAACAGATGATCATGGAGCTGCCAAGAGTGTCACTTCTGGAAATGACACTGATGCCATCTCGAGTGTGTCCTCTGGTGATAATCAAACGAAACAAAACTCAATTACCAGTGGAAGTCACAGTACCACCACTCATAATTCTCAGAAAAAGACTCAAACTAATCCAGCTCTTTCATTTAATGATACTGATAACAAGTCATCACTCAAAAAGAAGAAAAAGATTAAGAATGTCACTGAGGAGGAGTACAAGATTGTTTGTAATAAGAGATTTGAATTGGCTAATGAAATTTTGGTTGACTTTTTGAGATTGGATGGTAAAAACTCAGTGAATGTGAGTAAGAGATTTGCCGATCAAGTTGAAGCTCTTTTACAAGAATTCACACTCTTTTCAGTTGACTCTGATCAATTAGTCACCAATCCAGATAAGAAAATGAATGATCAACTTCCTGATGATTTATTTGAACCTTTACAAAATGAAATTGCAGTTGTCATGTTGGATACTTTACAAAGATTTAAACTTGGTGTTCAATTCCAGAGAAAGATGAAGATTGACAAGGTTATTAAGGAAAGAGAAAAGAAGGCAGCTAATAATAATGGAAATCAAAACGGAAAATCAGCAAATAATTTGTCAAGGAAATAAACCATCGTCTATTGCAATACACCAAGATTATTAGAAAGCAAAATGATTCAATCACTAATGAAATTGCCTTAATAGAGTAGTAATGAACTATTTCAGTGTCATTAAAAAAAATTATTTAAATAAAAATGAAATAATTTAAAATGACAGGGGGCGAGGGGGAATCGAACCCCCGGCCACAGCTTTGGAGGCTGCGATGTTACCATTACACCACCGCCCCTGTACATTAATTAATGAAAAACTACAATGGGTAGAGCTACCTTTTGGTAATTATATTCGTTATTGTAAATTGGATTTTTCCAACAATCACCAATAAAAAATCACAAGGTTACATCTTATGTTCTTATCCTTACCTTGTTACCTCTTATCCATTTAGCCGCGGATTAAAATAGTAACATCGTGTGTAAAGATTTAACATTATCAATTTCACCACGAATACCCATGTCTGTCTTTAGAAATTCTACTCTAACAATTCGAAACTCTGCAAACTCTTTCGATTTAAACTCTTAAAATCGAGTTGTTGCTTAGTATTAGTAATTAAAAAAAAAATGAATAGACAAGAGACAGAAATTGACACCACCAACGATGATATAATTCAAAATCTTTTACAATGTGATGACGAGGAGCAATTGGTAGAGACTGCCGATAGGTTAAAATTATGGAACTACAAGCCAGTTGTCAAAAGGATTGCTGAAGTCTGCGGATATAGAGTACTTGAAAGTGCCTCTGAGGAATTACGTAACGATAGAGAAGTAGCATTGGCAATTGTCAAGAACGAAGGACTTTCACTCAAATTTCTTCCTGAACAGTTTAAAAGTGATAGAGAGATAGTTCTACATGCTGTCAAATCACATGCTCATGCACTTAAATTTGTCACTGATCATGCATTGAGAAATGATAGAGAGATTATCTTGACAGCTATAAGACGGGATGGATATGCAGTTCAATATGCATCTGAGGAATTGAGAAATGACAGAGAAATAATGTTGACAGCTGTCCAACATCATGGATATGAAATTCACTTTGCTTCAAAAGAATTAACAAACGACAGAGAAATTGTATTGACATCTGTAAAACAACATGGTGATACTCTTAAGAATGCTTCAGAAGAACTTCAAAATGATAGAGAAATTGTCTTGACAGCTGTCAAACAACATGGATCAGCACTTCAGTATGCTTCTGAAAATTTAAGAAACGACAGAGAAATAGTTTTACAAGCTGTTAAAAAAGATGAATCTTCACTTGAATTTGTAGGAGAATTATTAAAGAATGAAAGTGAAATAATTAGAAAGGAAGCAAGAGAAATGAATTGAAAGATTGAATTCACATGCTAATCAAAAGAAAAATACTTACTCTTCAAAACATTCTCAATTACTGCCGTAATTTAATAAACTCGTTATTTCAAATTATAAAGTTTTCTTGCTACTAGTGAGTCATGCTTACATCATACTAGCAATTTTATTTTCATTATTTAATGTACAGGGGCGGTGGTGTAATGGTAACATCGCAGCCTCCAAAGCTGTGGCCGGGGGTTCGATTCCCCCTCGCCCCCTGTCATTTTAAATTATTTCATTTTTAATGACACGAGAGTTAGTACCTCTATATAGAGGAATTAAGGCTATTTCATTGGTGATTGAAATTTTTGCTTTCTATTTTTATTATCGAAACGCCTGAAATAGTTTATTACTTATTTTTAATGATTCTGTTTATTATCGAGTAACTTTCCATCAATATCGTCAAAGCATTTGAAGATTCCTCAATGCAACCATTTTTGCAAACATGAGTGAAGTACAAAATTATGGAGCTAAAGGATTAACTTGTTACTGATTTTACAAATAGTTCAATTTATTTTAATTACCACCTCTCAATCTCAAAACTAAATGAAGAGTTGATTCTTTTTGGATATTGTAATCAGACAATGTTCTTCCGTCTTCTAGTTGTTTACCAGCAAATATAAGTCTTTGTTGATCTGGTGGGATACCTTCCTTATCTTGAATCTTTGACTTGACATTTTCAATTGTATCATTGGATTCAACTTCCAATGTAATGGTTTTACCAGTTAATGTTTTAACGAAAATTTGCATACCACCTCTCAATCTCAAAACTAAATGGAGAGTTGATTCCTTTTGAATGTTATAATCGGATAATGTTCTACCATCTTCCAATTGCTTACCAGCAAATATAAGTCTTTGTTGATCTGGTGGAATACCTTCCTTATCTTGAATCTTGCTCTTAACATTTTCGATGGTGTCGTTTGATTCAACTTCTAAAGTGATAGTCTTACCAGTCAAGGTCTTGACAAAGATTTGCATACCACCTCTCAATCTCAACACCAAGTGCAAAGTAGATTCCTTTTGAATGTTATAATCGGACAAGGTTCTTCCATCTTCCAATTGTTTACCAGCAAAAATCAAACGTTGTTGATCTGGTGGGATTCCTTCTTTGTCTTGAATCTTACTCTTGACATTTTCAATTGTATCATTGGATTCGACTTCCAAAGTGATAGTCTTTCCAGTTAATGTTTTAACGAAAATTTGCATCGTGTAATTATTATTAGTTGTGTTGATTTGTTTTTTTTGTATGATGTTTTGATTTTGTTACAACATGGTTTAAAAAGGTAACCGATGTTTTATTTTTAGCTTCGGAAAAGGATTTTGTGTTGAGAAACAAATCATCAAGTTCACCTTGTATATTGAATATTGTACATACTTCTAATAATGTTTGAACATGTAACAAGGTTTGTTTTGCAGTTGTTAACCAGCAAAAAAACCAGGTTTCAAGTGATGATTAAGAAATGTTGCACAAATTGAATTACTCCATCAAATTATCCTCAATCCTTCCTTATTATCCTTTCTCATTTGATAATTCCCAACTTTCGGAAGGTGCAACTACTGTAGTCAAGCTATATTTAGCGACATAACAATGGACAATAATTCATGGAATTCTCACCCAATTCTCAGTAAAGTGGCTTTTCAGAATCAGCAAAACAGTGAACTTCCATTAATCAAAACAACAATTAAAAAATGCCAGCACACCTTTCCCTCCTTGAAAAAGCCAAACAATCCACTAAATTAAGCTTGGAATCACTCTCAAGTGGAGTGGAAGCTTGTGGTGAATTGTATGATGAAGTATTGAATGGAGTTGTGAGAAATGTAAAGATGGGACCTTTCAAGGCTACTAGTGGAATTGAATTGCCTTGTAGGTTTTTTAAAATCATTTATTCTAAATGAATTCGATCATTGTTTACTCAATTCTGATCCAATATTGGAATTAATCTATTTTTAACTTGATCAAATTTTTTCATCATCGGAATGTGGATTAATTAATTGAATGGAAATTATTGCTATCATAATAATGGGAAAATATGGACTTATGAATTCTAATAGATTATCTCAATGCTAGTACAAATTTTATGGATAAGAGAGTTGCTCCTAAAATTGTGGAAATTATGGGACATTACTTGGTTCATATTCAACAAACCTTACCATCATTGCAAGCTGAAAATTTACCTCCATCACAACAGAATCTCTCCGAACAACCTCTCGTATTGGTTGGTATGGAATTGGCTGGAGGAATGTTAGTGAGTCAATTTGCAGCCTATGCATCAACTCTTCATGAAAAACAAGGATCTAAAACAGTTTATGAAGCTTATGATTTTTTGTATATTAGAAAGAATAGAAAGTCAACTGGTACTTGTCAACAATTAGAAGGTGAACAAAAATTCACTGAAAGAAAACCAGATTCACCACTTTTACATGCTGTCTGGGTTGATGATGCTCTCTCAACAGGTTCTTCACTTTTGGATGGTATCAAAATGCTAAAGGAAGATTATAATATTGAAGTTAAGGCAGCTCTCTATTTGGTTGATAGAAGTAAGGATAGATTATCACTTCCAGATGAAAAGCAAAAACTTGCCGATCCAACTTTTGAAAATATTGAACTCTATTCCATCTTTGATTTACACGATGTTGATGCCAAGATTGAAGAAAACAAAAAGAAGAAGAATTTGTAAATATTGAGATATTATCCCTTTTTGAAAATGTACAACAACCATTGAACCTATACTAACTTATTAAAAATCGTATTCCATTTAAAGTGAATAGATTATCATCTGGACAACAACAAGCAAAACAATCGTTCAACAAAAACTGTTTAGAGCCATTCAAAATATCAAATATCTTCCAGTCCTCTTCCAACAACTATACTTCCATAACAACATCACCTTCCAGATTGTTCAATTTTCCATAAATGTTTCCATCACTTCTCTCATCAGAACAAATTTTGCGAACGTTAAAAAAAATAAAAAAAACTTTAAAAAAATGCCATCACTACTTGGCTCGTTAAAAACGCGTTCTCAATCGAGACTTTTGGAAGATGAGGAAGACGAAGATTTAGAGGAAGAGTTGGATGATATTGTACTTTCTTCCTCGCATCATCATCATCATGAAGAAGAACAAGATGAAGACTCTCATCATACAAAGAAGGAAAAATCACCTACAATTAACGGATCGAAATCATCATCACCATCAACAACGGCTGCTGCTCATGATGTTGATTCGACAATAACACCAAAGAAGAATAATGATTCGGATGATGAAGAACCAATAGAAAATACACCTGCTTTTAAAGATGATAGATCCAAGTTACGTGTTCGTTTTGGAAATGTTAATAAGGAAGAAGAGGCTCAAGATTTGGAAACTCCACCACTCCCGAAGAGAAAGCAAATTCTGGTCTCTAAGGGTTCCCTGACTTCTACAAATGGAAATGCTAATACTACTTCCAGTAGTAATAGTCTCGGTTCTGACCTGAACCATCATCATGAACCATCACTGAGCGAGGAAGAAGAGGAAAATGAAAAAGACTATGATGAACATCGTAAAGTCAAATTAACAAATCACAATGAACACAAGGAAATGAAAAATGTTAACCTCGAAGATGGTGATGATGTTGAAGTTGAAATTACAAACACTACCAAAATTTCCATGGAGGATGATTACGATCGAGAATTGTTATACTACGATAACCATATTGATGATACGTATAATGATTATTTAAAGCCAAATGCTATAGATGAAAATCCAGTTAGTGCTACTGGCATTGCTAAACTCTTCAAGAGCTTTCCAAGAATTAGTTTTACTCAATTTATGTGGTTGATGAAATTAGGATTTAGACAAACACCACTCGTCTTTTTCGGAATTATATTTTTGATTGTTAGTACTGGTTTGAGCCTATTCCTACCAATTTATGTTGGCGAGATTATTAATACCATCCCTGCAGGAACTACAGGAAAGGAATATATTAATCAAATGGCTCTCATTATACTAGGTGTTGTGGCTGGTATTGGCCTTACAACTGCATTGAGAAACTTTTGGTATGTTTCTTCTAATCAATTTCATTTATATATTTTACAAATATAATAGTTTTACATATGCTGGAGAACGTGCTGTTGCCCGTCTCAGAAAGGATCTTTTCAATTCCATCATTGTTCAAGAAGTTGGATTTTTTGATATCACTAAAACTGGAGAATTGTTGAATAGATTGAGTTCAGATACAAAATCATTGGAAAATGCCGTTACAGTGAATCTTTCAATGTTTTTACGTTATGTGGCTCAATTAATTGGTGGAATTGTTTTCCTATTGATAATATCTTGGAAATTGACTCTGATCATGCTTGCTGTCATACCTCCACTCGTTTTTATTTCTTTAATTTATGCCAAATATATTAAGAATATCACAAGGAGAACACAAGATGCTTTGGCCAATTCAACTGATGTTGCTGAAGAGTCCTTCTCCAATTTGAGAACTGTTCGTAGTTTTGCAAAGGAAACCAAGCATATTAGCTTGTACAGTGCTGCTATTGATTTGACTCTCTCATTGGCAAGAAAATTCTCATTTGCTAATGGTATCTTTTCAGGTGGTATGATGTTTGCTGGTAATGCTAGTATTATTCTCGTTTTGTGGTTTGGTGGAAGACTTGTTGTGGATGGTGAAATAACTGTTGGATCTCTTATTAGTTTCATCATGTATACCTTGTTGGTTGCTGCCAGCTTTGGTGTCTTGAGTGGATTGCTGGTTGAATTGTTTAGAGCTTTGGAGGCTACTGTTAGAGTTTACAACTTACTTCAACGTATTCCAGCCATTGAAAGACGTAATCCAAACGTTATGGAATCCGATACTAGAGAACTTCCAAAATTGAATGGTCACATTGTTTTGCACGATGTTTCATTTGCCTATCCTTCAAGAACCGAACACTCAGTACTCAATAAGATTAACCTTGAAATGTCACCATCAAGTATTTTGGCTTTGGTTGGTAGACCAGGACAAGGAAAGACCACCATTGTCTCACTCTTACAAAGATTCTATGATCCAAATGATGGACAAATTACATTGGATGGTGTTCCACTTACTCAAATTGATCCTGTTTGGTTGAGAAAGAACATTGGTCTCCTTACTCAGGATCCTGCCATGTTTAGTGCCTCAATTCGTGAAAATATTTGTTACGGATGGACTGGTGATGAAGCTCCAACAGACGAGCAAGTTATGGAAGCATCCAAGAAGGCAAACGTTCATGAATTTATTTCTAATTTCAAAGATGGATATGATACTATTATTGGAGAAAGAGGAGTCAGACTTTCTGCCTCTGAACGTCAAAGAATCGCCATTGCTAGAATCCTTTTGAAGGATCCGAAGATTTTAATTTTGGACGAATATTCTCATTCTTTAGAAGTACAATATGACAGCCAAGTTCAACAAGCTCTCAATTCATTAATGAATGGAAGGACTGTTATCGTTATAGCTCACAAACTTGCCACAGTGATAAAGGCCAATAAGGTTTGTGTCATTGAGGAAGGTTCAGTTGTGGAACAAGGAGAGCATTTCAATCTGCTTCAAAAGGGAGGTCTTTACAAACAAGTAGTGGAAAGACAACTAGTTGGTACTGATTAATTAGTGAATGTAAATAAAAATTAATTTATTCCAAGGTTTAAAACATAACAAAATGAACATTAATTTATTCCAAGGTCTTGAATCTAGTTTTAGTTTTTGAATCAGAGTAGAATTCAATTTAAATTTATTTAACAATTTATACATCCTTATCTTCCAAAGGTCTTCTCTTCCAAAGTATTACCACACCAGACATGTCACAACTGGCCAATAATGTTTCATCATATGACCACGAGACGTCCAGAACTGGAGAGGCGTGACCCATTAATCTGTTAATTGCATTTGAAGCTCCAAACTTGGTAGAATAGAAAAGAATTTCCGTCGATTCACTTCCTGTCACAAAGCATGAACTGGCCATGAATGAAACAAGAGGACAAAAGTGACTCTTTACACTGTGATTCTTTTGAGAGACTGGGAATCTTATCGATTCTACAAATTTTGCAGATGTTTGGCTATATTGGAAGAGGTGAACATAACTATCCATAGCACTCACCAAGAGTCTAGGATTAACTTTAGAAGAATTTCCAGTCCACAATTGATAATCAATAGAAGTGATGGCTTTTCCATTGAGTGATACCTTAATTTTCTGTACTAATTTACCAAAACAGAGTTTGTTAATATCAAACTCATAAATCCACAAGAAACCAGTCACATCTCCAATAAATATTTGATCTCCCTGTGTAGAGAAAAAAACAGAAGTAACATGATTACTTCCTCCTAGTGACATGTTAATATTGACAAAACTACCCATTCCCATCGATAATTTGTTAATTTTGAGTTTTTCCACTAATTTACCAGTACTCAGATTGTATAAACCAACAAGTCCTCCTTCAAAACCTACACAGAAAAAGTTTGGATTTCTTGGGAAGAATTTCACTGCCCTAACCGTTCCCTGCTTATCAAGAATTCTAATACAAGCACCAGTAGTGGTGTTCCATATTCTAATTGTTGAATCTTTAGAAACACTGAGAATGTACTCGTTACTCAGTGACCAGTCAAAATCTAGGATGGCATCCTTGTGCCCTTTCAATTTGTGTATAATTTCTGGTTTTTTCCATGCTGTAGCAATATAAATGCAACCATCTGTTGCACCAAAAGCTAACAAATCATTATTATCATTGGCAAACTTGATTGAAGTGACTTCCACTCCGTCATATCCATTTCCGACTTCGAAAATGTGGTGCATTCCGACAAATTCATAAACTTCAGATAATTTAGTTCGTGGAGCAGTTTGACTAATAGTGTCGGCAGTATCTACATTATCCTCTGATCCAGTATCGTCTCCTGTATTTAAAATTTGAGAAGAATCCAAGTGATCCTGATAGGAAGATCCACCATCTGAGAGTCTATTACTTTGTGTTCTCTTATGTTTCTTATCTCCAAGATTTGTCGTTCCACCCGAGAGGAATAAAAACTGTGGTGGTTTCATTTGATCTTGTTGTTTCTTTGCTTCAAATACCATCAGGGTATCTTGTGGTGATAATTTCATAGAAGGATTATGTTGTACAAAAGCAAAAGTTTGCCCTTTTTGTTCTAATAAAAACTTTCTCCACTCCAAGTAGGTTGATTGTTTTTTCATGGAAAATTCAGATGATGGTGTATTAGGTTTACGTTTGCTTCTACTTTGCAGTTTCAATTCCTTTCGGAGAGTATGATAACGCTTTGGACGAAAGGATCCAAAAGACGATTCCAATTGCTCTCTTTCCTGTTCAAAATTAAGAACAATTCCGTGGTCCATTCTTTGATTTTTGTTGATATTATTGTCGTACTTTTTAAATAGATATTATTATCGTGATGATTGATGTTATTATATTTATAATTTTCAACGTTCTATTTTAATGTTCGGGATGATGAATTTTACCAATAAATCACACAACCAAGCATAAAATATATTCTCGCCCAATAGCAATTATACTCTGATGATGAATCCAATTTTGAGCTTTGTAGAAAACCAAAAACAATCAAAAAGGTTTGAAGAATTTTCTCGTGATGATCTTTTTTTTAAATTTGAAAAAAATATAAAAATTTAAAATTCCCTCTAAGGTGAGCTTTCTCTTATTAGAGACTTTGAATTGATACAATAGCAATAATCACATAGTATTTAAATAGATCAGAGGTGATTTGATTTGAAAATTAGAAAAAAAATGTTCTCTGAGAATTTAATTAATTGATGAAAACAAACAGAATTTCATCAATATTAATATTAATATTGTACAAATATTGTTGTTTATATTGAATTGTATTAATCATGAAACAAGTGTACATTCGAAATGATAGAGTTTGATGTTTTCCGATGCCATCAGCAAGCGAGATAGTAAATTACATAATAATTAAAGAAAATGTATCAATCACAATCTCCTTCAGAGTCTCCCTGGCAAGATGACAAAGCCTACAGAGAATATCATATGAAACGATCTAAGGAAACAGGTCCTCGAATTGTCAAGTTGAGACCACCATCTACTTTGAATTTAAAATCCAATAGGAGAGATGTTGTTTTATTGAGTAGTATTAGATTTAAAACAATGACAGTGCTTGGAGTGTTATTTCTGTTATTGATGGCTATTTGTTTGGCTGTGTTGGTGACTGCCTTTTTACTTTCGTTTAATTCGGTTGAGCAGACTTATTCTGTAGAAGCTGCAAAGAGAACTACAAGGGCCTATTTTGATGATTTTCAGTCATTGACATCAAAGCTTAGCGAATATGGAGCATTTAATGATACTGTTGATGCTGTTATGGCTACAAACTCATCATTTACTGAGAAATATATGGATACTTATTTGAATTGTAATTATCAACTGGCTTCCAAATTGAATTTTGCAATATTATATAAGAAGGATGGAACTTTGCTCGCTTTTAGAGCATGTTTTAGGGGAATAAGTTTGGATAATCTACCAGAAGAGTTCAATGATTTGTCGAGAAATGAACTAGGAGCTCGTTTATTGAGGAATGTTGATGTACCTTCAACAAGACATGTCGGCTTCTTCTCTCCATTTAAAGATTTACCAAATTTAGTGAACTCATATGAAAAGAAGCAAGCTATAATGGCCAACATGACAGAAACAGAGCTGCTTTCATATATTATTCTTATGAGTGGCATGCCAATACAGGATAATTATGATTACAATACAAAAACATATGGCCTGATTGTGTTTGCTAGATTTGATCTTGCAGAGTACAAGCAAGATATGGCAAATAGAGTTCAACTCTGTATTACCCTCTTTAATATGGAATATTGGAGACATAGGTATTTGTTAGCAATTGCTCTTAGTGGAGAAAGTGCTCCAGAGAGCAGCTCATACATTTTCAAACAAAATCACGAATGGATCAATACTTATTTAACTGAAAGAGTTGGGGATTGGAAAACAACACTAATCAATGGTTCAAGTTCAGTAACAAAATGGAAAGACAATATGGCTCAGCTCAATCAACCACTTTTTGTTGATCAACAAAATAATCTTTATCCTATAACCGAGAATAGATATTGTGCAGATATTGAAGATGATGGAAATGCTTATGGATCTAGAATGGCAACATTTCAGAAATATTATGACATTTCACGAAATGACAGTATTATCATTAGAACAGACTTTGCAAGAAGAGTATTTGTTTTGGGAACCAATTCTTTCATCATTACTTGGGCAGTAATGACAGCAATGATTTTACTGCTCTCATTTGCAATAATGGTCTTTTTGGAGGTTGTTGTTATTAAGAGAGTGATGAATTTTGCCAAATCAGTTAGAGAAATCACCATTAGCAATAATTTCAAAAAGAGAGTCAAGTGTATGGGTAAGGATGAGCTGGGATTATTGACTGATGATGTTAATAACATGTTGGAAACATTGGACGAATCCCAAACAGTCATTGTATCTGAGAATGAAAGAATTCAAGAGTTACTAGAGAAAACATCCCTTTCTGAACAGCATGCAAGAGTAATCATGAATGCCATCTCTGATTTCATCTTTACTGTGGATTGTAAAAATGGAGAAATTGCCACCTTCAATACTATATTTGAAACGAAAATTCTCAAGAAGAATACCTTGGCAATTTCAAATTATTTACTTGTTAGTGATCTTGCTGCTGAGACGGATCAATTTCTTGGCTTATTTGAATCTCTTTCGTATAATACCAATTCGAGAAAGGATGCATTATTGTCTACAGCCCTTGGTAACAAACTTCCTGTTTCATTATCATCTACCAGAGTAACCATCATTCAGAATGAAGAAATGATTGAAGTCTATGTAATTGTTGCAAGAAATATGAAAGAGCAACATGAATTAATGGCCAGTATCAAACAGCAACAGGAAACCATTCAATCTTTCGAATTTGAAAAGATAATGTCAAAAAAGAGTTCAAAGGAATTATTTAGAGTAAGTTATTCTTGAATTATTTAACAAGCTTTTCATTAAGCAATTCTGTGAAAGTGAATTTTCTGCTGAGAATTTCAACTTTTTGGAAGATGTGCTCAAGTATAAGAATATCAAGAGAACCTCGGAAAGATCTAAAAAGCAAAATGAAATTATTGCCCAATATTTGAAGGAAGACTCACCTACCCCTTTGAATATTTCAAAGCAGGAACGAGAAGTCATAGTTAAAAGAATTATCGAAGGTTTTGGCCAAGTTGACTTGCTGGATGATCTTCAAAAGGTTGTAACCAATATGATCTTGAAGGACACATTTGTTAGATTCATGCTCCAATATGAAGAACCTACTGAAGATTCTGATAATTTCCCAGTCACACCAGTGGATATTTCCATCAGCATATCTTCCTCTTCTTCTTCCAATAGTTCAATATAATAGTAATTACTATCATTACATCAAGGTTTAAAGCAATTAGTTTAAAAGATTATTGTCTTAATCAAATTAAGGTAACTTTTTCTCAATAACCAAATGAGTCTTATTTTCACTCGAGATTTTCCAATGTTATTTCAATAGTTCCACAAAATATCTTTTTGGATGTGCTTTGAGTAAATCAAAACAATTGCTCAATTCTGAATCAATAGTAAAATATGATTGCTTCCAATTTAATCCTCTTTCCAAATTCGGATTGTTTCACGAAAACGAAAATATCATCAATACCAAGTGGATCTTTATCTAAAAAAACACAAACACATTCAATAGCTATGACTTCGAGTATTCAAAGTTATAGTCTAACGACCGCGTCAACAAGTAGTGATTCAAGTTTATCAGATTCGCCAACACTTTCGAATGAATTATTCGTTTGTGGCCTTTACACTTCTGGCCAAACAGGGCTCGTTAGAACACCCAAAGTTTCGGTTCATCAAGCACAATATTATCCTCAGTTTTATTCGTTTGCAGAACCTTGTAAATTACCTCCAATATTTGATCAATCCAATGTTTCTAATAATCATCACCAACACTCAACTCTATTCTCCAGAGAAGAAACACAACTAGAAACACAAGAACAATCCAATGAAAATTCACTCATCACCTGCAGAGAAACTCTCAATTCTCTTTCCAATCATCTTCATACTGACGAAGAATTATCAAATAAGAACAACTCATCCAATCAATCATTACCTCAATTGGCTGATGAGAAATTAAATGTAAAAAGTATTGTCTGTGGTTGGTATCACACTGTTCTTCTCACTTATAATGGTCAAGTGTGGAGTTGTGGAGCAAATTACAGTCATCAAGCAGGTCAATCACAAAATTCAAACGTTACTCAATTTACTAGAGTCAACTTGATTCAAGAACCTGTGCAAATGATTAGTTGTGGTGGACATCATAGCATTGCCTTAACTATAAAAGGAAACTTATATGTTTGGGGTGAATGTAGAGAAGGTCAATTGGGAACAGAACAAGCAACACCTCCCATTTCAAGTACATTACCAATCTTGTTGAATCCTCAAACATATTTCAGGAATTTCGAAATGGACAGAAGGGAATTAATTGCAGAACTTTCAAAAAATCAATTGGCCATGGACGAGTTTGAAGAGACAATATCAGCACCAAGTATTGCAAAACTGTGCTGTGGTGGATATCATTCAATATTTGTAATGAGTGATGGAACTGTTGCCTCGTGTGGAAAGAATACGTATGGTCAATGGTAAGTTTTTTTGTAAACTACTTTCAATGTTAATATTTCATATAATGTAATATTAAAATACAGTGGAACAGTTACTAAAAGTCATGCAAGTTTGAATACACAGGATCATGAATTTAAAATCTATCAACCTTCTCTATTGAAGGAATTTGAAGTTCCTGTCAATACTCCTCCAAGAATTTTAAGGGAATTCACAAGGAATGGTGAAAAACCCATTCAAGTTGGTTCCAAGTACAGAATTCCATTCACATGTATGGAAATTGTTGATTGTGCAGCAGGAGCATGGCATTCCATATTAATCACCTCCGAGGGAAAAACATTTGGTATGGGAGACACTCAATATGGACAGCTCTCCATTCAAGAAATTGAAAATGATCCTACTTTGTTTTCACAAGAAACAGATTCTTCCAATAGACATTTGATTCCTCATTTGATAACTTCCTTGCAAGATGAAAAGATTTGTGCAGTTGCTTGTGGATATTTCCATTCTGTCTTTTTGACCTATGGTATGTTCTATGATAATTTTCTTTAATCTTAATCAATACTACTCCAATCATTGTGACAAACTCAATTATTAATAATCAGATGGAAGAGTGTATACAGTAAGTATTAATTAATAATTGCAAATTTCAAACAATGTTTTTTCTAAAGAATGGATGGAATGCATATGGTCAGCTTTTAAATGGAAATACCAAGACTCAACGATTTGTCTATCCACTCAAATTACTCTATGGAATTCCAATATGTAAGGTTGCTTGTGGATGGAATCATTGTGTTCTCCTTTCAAGAAGTGGTGAATGTTATGTTGGTGGAGAAGGAAAGCATGGCCAACTAGGATACATCCAATCTCAAAAAACAGATGAAGTTCAAGAGAGAATGTATCATCATACTAGAGAAGATGAAAATCAACAAAATTGCTTTGTGTGTAGACCTGTACGTGTTGACTTTTTCAGAAATATTCCAATCAAGGATGTAGCTTGTGGCAGAGGTCACACCATCTTTCTCACAGGTACTCCAACCTATTGTCACAATATGAATTTCCTCAGAAAGAAATTGTTTATCCACTTGACAACTTGTAATGACTTTTCCGATATTAATATCATTTCCAAATAGTTGAATATAATTGTAAATATGTATCCTAGGAATATATAAAGGAAAAACCTCTCCAATAATTGTGTTAAAATGTAAAATTTAATTTAAATCATTGTTTTACGTTCAATGAGTTCGACCTTGTATCCATCAGGATCTTCAACAAAGGCAATAACAGTAGTGCCGTGCTTCATTGGACCTGGTTCTCTTGTAACCTAAATTATTAGAAATTAAAGCTTTAAAAACTATGATAATGACATACCTTACAACCACATTCTCTAACTTGTTCAACAACAGAGTAAATATCCTCAACACCAATAGCCAAATGTCCGAATCCAGTACCAATATCATACTTTTCAACACCATAATTATAAGTCTAATTAGTATTATTATTTAAATTCATCAAATTTTAATAATTATTAATCCAACAACATTAAATATTATAATATTAATTAAATAATTTGATAAAGCCAAGCTTACCAATTCAATTTCATGAGCATCATTTTCATATCCAATGAAGGCAAGAGTAAATTTACCTTCAGGATAATCACTTCTTCTCTTTTCCTTCATTCCGAAAATATTACAATAAAAGTTGATAGACTTTTCCAAGTTACCAACTCGGATCATGGTATGGAGAAGTGTTGGAGCCATTTTTTCTTCTTATTTGTTGTTGGAATTGTTTTTTTGTTTAATTTCCTATTGGACATGACGAATTTATACTTTTGAAGATAGGCAAAATCAAGATTTCATAGATTGTGCTTACATGCGATTTGTTGCGATGTTTAATACGTCCTTTTTATATTGATATTTCAATGTTCATGAGGATATGCTCCTCGGAGTTCAGATGATCTTTTGGGATTGTTAATTTCCCAACAATATGATAAGCTTTCTTCGAAATCAAATTATATCATAAGGAAATGAACTTGAAAGTTAATTGAGGGATTTTTTAAAAAGATTTTGATTGGATTTAAGCTTGAACTTTGGAGAACCTTGAAGGACTAAGGAATATCAATGTTGTGTATGGATATTAATTGTGATGTTTATCATAGGAAATGTAGGCTAGGGTTAGGTAACACTATTGTTAAAAGATAGGTTTAAATCAAACTTTTTAATGTCCTATACTGCAGACAGTATTAATAAGTATAAAAGTGATTAATTTATTTTTACATGCCCGCCAAAACGTTACAGTTTTTTTAGCAAACCGCAACCAACAAAAACTATAAAAAAAATTAGTGAACAACAACACTCTCTACGCTTAGTCTCATCATTTTTCGATTTGAGAGAATATTCAACGGCGTGCAGCTCGAGCTTTTTCGGTTAATAATTTTTTAACATCATCAATTTGAACAAAAAGCTTTTTCATTAGGAATAATTCTTAGTATCATTCTCATCATCAAATAATATTTATTCTACTACTATTAACAGTTAGTGATATCCACAACAATACTCCTCCAAAATCTTAACATCAAGAAACTTCTAATAATAACTCTTTCTACATTTAAAAGAGTTTGAACACACTTATCGCCTCACCTTATCTCTTTCCTTCCAAAATAAAAACAATGAACGACACTGACCTTGACGATCTCCCAGACAATTTACCAATGAGTGTATCCCCTCGTTTCTCAACGAAAATTGCAAATCAACTCAATGCAGTTGGTAACTTTTCAAATCCTCAATACCAATTCATACCAAAGAGAAGAAAACGTATAACTAACAACAACAACAATAATCATCATTCACTTGCTAGAAAGCCTAGCGTAGAAGTTTTAGAAGTACAAGAAGAAGAAGATTATAGTATTGACTCGGGTTCTTCATCACCCTTGGGGCAGTCGGTTGGAACCCCATTCACAATAGAAGAACAGAATGAACCACCTCAACATATTTCACACATGAACGAAAGTCCGATATTCAATGCATCAGCAAGTTTTATCAACAATTCCATCCTCTCCTCCAAGCGAATGAAAACCAAAGATCCCCTCAATAATTCAGAACCAACTGAAGACGAACACAATACCTCCTACTCACACCCTGATCAATCTTCCTACCACAATCAATATGGAGAGCATTCCAAATATTCCAACAACCAGACCAATAATGACAAGAAGATTAAATATCCAAGCGTTTTCAGGTTTATGAAAACAACAACAGTTGGAGGTGATAATAGTGGAAGCGATAGCAGTAGCCCAGAAGAAGACCTTATTGTACAGACAAATAACACCAACACAAGCACACATGTGGCAAATACTCCTCTAGGTGAACAAGGATCACTACATTCCTTCAGAAAGGAAGTTTTGGCCAAGAAGAGAGCTTCCCATGACCATGGATCAATGGCTCCTCTGAATCATAACACCTACCAAGAAGATCCTTCACTTAATAAGATTAAGGATGAAATTCATCAGAGAAGAAAGAAGAATTTGATGGGAGATCCTGAACGAAATTCACCAATTCCACAACAACCTCAACAAGATATACTGCAAGGAAATGAAGTGAGGCGAAATAAGCTCGAAAGGCAATTCACAAATCAGCCAGTTGGTTGTAAAAACTAAACTTGTAAATTATTGCAAATGTGCTCTAGACCTAGGTCCTTTCCAAGGCAACACTTTGGAAATTGAAATTTAACTTATTATAAAGTACAATTTTTATTACATTTAGTACATTCTCTTCTTACCAGCACTGAGGGAAGAGTACTTTTCAACAACGTTATTGAATTGATTGATACCCTTTGTCATGGTAGCAAGGTAAGTAATGATAAGACTTTCATTGACATCATTAACATAGTCAGACTTGAACTTATCAGAAACAACAGCTGGCAAACGATGGGAGAGGGATGAAATTTCACGTAACTTTTTGTAATCTGGTTCAATCTTTCCTGCCTTGACTTGTTCCAAATAATTGACCAAAATATCAACACGTTCAATCAACATGCCAACAGCATTTGAAACTGTAACATATTGTGGAATAAGTGATGATGAAGATCCGTCTCTCTTGTCCATACGGTTGACTTGATCAACAACAATTCTTTCACTTTCTTCGGTTTCAATCTTGTAGGTAAGTGAAGCCCAAGTAATTTCACTACCAGTTGTATTGTTAATATTACTTTCATAGACATACAATGGCAATTCCTTTTGAACTGATCCAAAAGCAACACTAACTAAAAGCATCAATGGATTTTCATTGTATCTGACAATTTCTTGTTGAATTTGTGAGTATTCCTTTCTGATTTCTGTTCCTGTTGAGTACCATCCCAAAACATCGTAATTCTTGAAAACTTGTTTATCTATTTTGTTGTAGTGTTGTAAAATAATGTTGAAATATAATTTGTTGTTGTTGTAGTGTTTCGAATTGTAGCAAAAGTTAAAATTAATCACAAGCGATGACGATCAAGTTAAAATGTCATAATCAAAATATACAATAATATGATGGAAAATTGTGAAAAGTAGTTCTGTGTCATCATCATCATTAACAATAAATAATAATAACATACATTGTTCGACCTTTTCTTGCAAATAGCTGTGATCAATATTTACAACACCTCCCTTATCGACAGAGAAGACTAATTCAAAGGAAGTTCTAACTTCAACTCTTCTTCCGTCTTGAGTACCAAAGAGGATACCAACAACCTTGGAATCAAAAGCATCACCGGATGATCCCTTCAATTGATACTTTTTTCTTGTGTAGTGATCTGAAATGTTAATCAGAATAAGTGGGTGAATATACAAATCAATAGCAGATGTTGATTCTTCTACTTTAACGCTCATTTTCTATAGAGATGTAATATGATGATGATCAATCCGTGATGGTGTGATGAACAAAGCAAAAAGGCTTGTGATGTAGACGCTTTTAAAAAAAATGAAAAATCACACGAATTTTTTTTTAGAATTTTTTTGCAAGCACTGAACCACATTGGCAAGCTTGTTGGAACTTATCTGTTTGTTTTACAAAATCTAAAAAAAACTCATCCAATTCCATTCATTGATGGAGTAAGGTCATTGAGGTTTGTTTGTGATGAGAATTATATTTGAGGTGGGAGAGGAGTGAAAATGGATAAAGTGATAACGGTAGAATTTTGGAAATGGCTTTTAGCCAGTAGATCTTCATCAATGATATCTCTCCTATCTCAACATGAGCTAAAGCAATGATTTTCCCCAGTCAATCCAAAAGATAAAAGTTAACTGTAGGTGAAGGCAGTTTCGATCTACCACTTCAGATTCAAGGCGGCCTTCTGCGTTCTCCCAATTAAACTATTCACCTACAAATCAGGTATCTGATCGAACTAATCATAATTGTAAAATTTCTAAAAATATATTATCAATTTTTGGTTTACAATTAATTTTCAATATTCAAGGGAGATAACATTGGAAGATTCAGAGGAATGTTAAAAGCACTACATATTGATGAAAATATTATCTTCTTGTTACCACCTTGCTGCTTACAACCTCAATTCCAAGTTTTACACTCAAAATAAGCGACATTTACAAGATAAGCTTAAGATTCTCTTTTAAAAGATAAAAAAAATCCACCAAACCAATTCCTTCGGAGAGTTTCATGTAAACCAGCAAACAACAACTTTGAGTGTTGATTGATTACTAATTCTCTATTATACTTTACAACAGATCCTGCACATTTTACAGAGCATAATCTCTCTGAGATTTTTATGAATACTACTAGTAGCATTGATAATAATAATTATTTAATGATACCAACTATTAATATGGACAATAATGTTTTTAATCATTTGCCAGCAGAATTAATTAGACACATTCTCTCCTTTCATACAATTCACTTTCCGTATGATTTTATGAAGGAGAGAATTATTGATGACACCAAGTGCGCATCACCACTCACAAGAGATGACGAAGAACAACAGTATACACTGTGGTTTGAAGAGGAAATGAATAGATTAACCAAGGTGCCAACATTCTTTGGTAAATTCAAAGAATCACATCATCGGGATTATGTTACACCATTCCTAGTCTTTCCTTCTGTGATTTTTACTTTGGATTCGTATATTTCCAGATATCATTTGCATAAACTATTCAATCATCAGGTAAATGATGCTATTTCAAATCATCAGGAAATCAATGCTAAAAGTAAGAATTCAAAAACAAAGAAAGTTTCTTCGATTGCAAATATTCTCGATTTGGAGGAACATGCAGAAACATCTCTCATGATGCATGAAATGATCTACTTGCCAAGGATGATTTCCTCTTTCCAATCAATTGTGTTATCCACTGCCTTACCTTTTGAAGATGTTTTGGTAGAGTGCATGGATGAAACAAATTCATGGATCAACACATTCTGGAGTAAATTGCCTAAAAATCTATTGAATAACAAACTCCAACTGGCTCTCCATGTGAAGAATATGGACAGAGCTCAAGTAGATAGATTTTTAGAAAAGCTCATGGATGTTTCATTCAATGAATTCTTCAAACTGAACATGAAGACACTTTACATTGAGACGGAATGTAGCAGATTTAGACAAGGAATCATTGAAGACTATGAAACTTATATGAGTATGGGAGGTGATGAACAGGATGAAGATGACAGTCTCATGAAGGGAAAGAGGATGTTCTTTATTGATATTTTGAATACATTCCCAAGTATTGAAGTATTGAAAATTAACAAGATGATAGATGACGACGATTTGGAAGTTCAATCCACTCTCAACTTTAAATCTACCTCTGTACTTTCCCATGAAACATCTAGAATGGCACAATATTTCAAAATGTATCCATTCAAGAGTAATAAGGAAATTTCACAAATCAGACTTGTACTCACTGAAGAGGAAGAGGAAGCCAAGAGACAACAACGTGAAATAATGGAAGACAGAAGGAGAAGTATTCTCGAAAAACTCACACTCAAACAACAAACAAACTACAAAATTAGAACTTGTATTGTCAATGGTTTGAAAGATCATGAAATCAAACAACTCCTTCAAAGCTATGCTTGTCAAACTCATTTGAAAACTCTCTTGATTGCTCATACAGTATTGAGTAAGGAATTTTGTGAATTATTGACCCACTCCTCTGTTCAAACTCTTACTCTATTGGATGATGTATTTGAAGGAATAGAATCTCTCGAATCAATACTTCTCCATACACCAGTCAAAAGCTTGACTGCAAACAACGTAACTTATCACAAACCAACACCAAATAATAATTCTCCAAAAACCCTTTATTCATGGAGTGAGCCAGAGGGTGAGCTTTTCAAAAAGAACAACTCCCTCGTCACTCTAAAGATTATCAACTGCACCAATTTATTGGATCCAAAATTCACTCAAAAGCTCAGTGAAAATAGAAATATTAGATTCTTAACTATTCGAGGTTGTAAATTGAGCGATGAAAAGATTAGACCAATTCTAAGACATAACAGAACAATTGAGGAGCTTGACATTACCGACAATAAGGGTGGTAGTTTATCGGCAGCTAGATTGACTGCCTTCCACAGTTATAGAGGATGTAGGAGAATGAGAATATTGTCAGACTTTGTTAAATTTTAAGTTATAAATTAGAATATTTTGGAAAATTCTTGATACTTTGCAACATCTTCCCTTGATAGCGTTGGGTGAATAATGTTCAATGCCTTTTCAAAGTCTTCGAATGATACTAAGGGTGGTAATAGCTTTTCAGGTGAAATATCGTACAAGGATATTTGAACTGTATCAAACTGCTCAATATTTTCAAACACGGGTTCTAACAAGTCATTGCGCTCGATTCCAGTTATTGGAGAGTATCCAGATATTAATCTAAAATGAGTGGCTTGTTGACACTTTCTCAATGGTTCCATAATGGCCTGTCGTATGACAACAGAAAGGTCAGACCCTGAATAGCCGTCTGTTAGCTCAGCAATCTTTTGAAAATTCTCCTCAATGAGCGAGTTTGGAGTATTTCTAAGGTTGTGTTTGATAATTTCTCTTCTTGATTCTTGAGTTGGTAGAGGAACATATATTCTCTTCTCAAATCTTCTCCTTATAGCAGAGTCAATATCCCAAGGCAAGTTTGTTGCACCAATGACTGTAACACCATCTCTAGATCCTATGCCTTGCATCTGTACGAGGAATTCTGTTTTGATTCTCCTTGAAGTTTCACTGTCAGTGTCATTTCTGGCAGAGCACAAGCTATCTATTTCATCAATGAAAATAATTGAAGGCTTTCTGGATGCTGCAAATTCGAATAATTGTTTAATTTTCTTCTCTGATTGTCCAACCCATTTCGAAAGAAGATCAGCACTTGATACACTGAAAAATGTTGCCTCAGATTCACTTGCTAATGTGGATGCCAATAAGGTCTTGTTATTATTCGTGTGAATATATTAAGATTACAATTTACATACCTTTCCTGTACCAGGAGGTCCCTATACAGTATTAGAATGCATTAATTCAATCAATCAAACTTACATAGAGAAGAATTGCTCTCCAAGGTCTTCTCTCCCCAACAAATAATTGAGGAAATTTCTGAGGAAGAATTGTTGCCTCCCTTATACATTCAATGACTGATTCCAATCCAACTATTTGTTTCCAAGTTTGATCATTAGGTCCTTTCTTTTTCGAATCAATGATGAATGATTTGATTTCCTCCACATCCTTCCTCTTCTTTCTCTTACTTGAATATTGAGAAGAGGCTTCTTCATCTTCTTCGGCACTGCTTTCGTCTCCACTTTCGTCAATCATAATTGGCCTCTTGTTAGACTTTTTAGAATCCACTTTTTTCAGAGATGATGAAGAAGTCTCCATTGTTGTTTGAAATTCGGAAGGTCTCTGAAGTGACTCTGATTGTTCAAGGCTTTGATTCGACTCTGATCGATCTGAATCGGAATCAATAGTGATGACACCTCCTTCTTGATGTTGTTGCTGATGACAATTTTCATTTGTATTTCCTCTTAACAATCCTATTCTTCCTTCATAGGTAGCATTCAATTGTTCGTATATGGACTTGAGAAGCTCATTCTTCTCGAAACTAATGGCACACCTCAAACAACTCGAAGCCTTTGCATAACTTTCGTTACATTCCTTAAGTGTGGAGGGAAGTTTCTCCTCAAATTGAAAAGCCTTTTTCCCATAACTTAGTGCTTCTTTGAGGTATTTTTGTACCAACATTTTCCAAGCTAAGTGTAGTATCGATGGAGTCGAGGTATTTTATTTGACTTATTAATTTGATTTTTGGCGCCACTTTTTGTAAGCCTGAATGGTTTTCCTCAATCGATAATAGAATATTGTGGTGATCAAAATTTCCAAGCTTCATAAATTGTTAAGGTGCAAGTTTAAAACTCCATCATAAACTCCGATCATGAAAAGAATCTATTTAAAAAAATGTCTCAAGATCAAACTGTTGCTCCATACGGCTCCTGGATTTCACCAATTTCTTCTGATTTGGTTGCAGAGTCTGGTATTGGATTTTCCAATATTGTTGCTCATCCTTCCGATCCAAATACTTTTGTCTATGTCGAGTTGAGACCAAGCGAGGCTGGTAGAAGTGTTCTCGTAGAGTGTTCTATTGAAAAATCCCAATCTTCATCCGATGATCAATTGGTGATGAAGGATTTATTTCCTGATTTCAAGACGAGTCCAATTTTCTACTCTGCCAGAACTAGAGTTCACGAATATGGTGGATTGTCTCACGTGATTACTTCCAAGTCTGATGTTTACTTTTCGAATTTTAGAGATCAAGCATTGATGAAAGTAAATTTAAAGGAATCGAGTGATATTGTGATGGTTTCCTTGTCTGAAAATGCATCTGTAAGATTTGGTGATGGATTTGTTGATGAAGTAAGGGAAAGATTAGTTTTTGTTCAGGAAGAACATGTCACTGGAGAAAAGGAGCCAAGAAATAGTGTTATCACCTTGTCAACCAAGAGTAATGAAGAAAAATCAATTACATTGGCAAGTGGAATGGATTTTTATGCTGCTCCTAAAGTTTCAAGAGATGGAAGTAAATTGGCCTATATTGCTTGGAATCATCCAAACATGCAATGGGATAATTCTGCAATTTTTATGGTTGATCTCGATAAGGATAGTAAGCCAATTGAATCAACTCGTAGAAAGATTTCTTTGAGTGAAGAGGAAAGTTGTAATGAACCACTCTTTTCACCAGATGGAAAGTTCCTCTTTTACATTACTGATTTTCCAACTGGATACTGGTCACTTGTGAGATATAGTTTGGAAAGTGGAAAGACTGAAAATCTAATGACTCACATTGAAAAGACTGAGATTGGAGGACCATTGTGGCAATTGGGTAATTCTTCCTATGTCCTTATTGGAGATGATAGATTTGTTTGTACATTGAGTGGAAAGGTTTTCATTGTTGCTGAAGGAAAGTGGACTGCAGTGGAATCACAATTTACCTCCTTCAAATCTTTGGCTCTTTCAGCAGATAAAAAGAAGGTATTCCTGATTGCTTCATCTCCATCCCTCCCAACAAGTATTTGCTATTTGGATATTGAGGAACAAAAGATTAGACTTGTCAAACAATCGGCTGAAATTACCATCTCCCAAGACAATTTCTCCCACCCTGAATTGATTGAATTCCCAACAAGTTTCAATAGAACTGCCTTTGCTTACTTTTATCCACCAAAGAATGAAAAGTATATTGCTCCAGAAAATGAAAAACCTCCTTGCATTGTCTTTATCCACGGTGGTCCAACCTCGTGCGTCATGACAGCATTGAGCTACAAGACTCAATATTGGACTTCAAGAGGTTTTGGTGTATTGCATGTCGACTATTCAGGCTCAACTGGTTATGGAAGAGAGTACAGATTCAGATTACACAAGACTTGGGGTATTAGTGATGTGGACGACTCGAATAATAGTGTCAAATATCTTTCTGATCAAGGAAGAATTGATTCAAAGCGTTTGTGTATTTCAGGTGGTAGTGCAGGTGGTTTTACAGTATTTGCCTGTTTGTGTTCTCCTCCTGAGAAGCAAGTATTCTCAGCTGGTGCTGCATATTATGGTGTTTCTGATTTGCAAGCTCTTGCACACGATACTCACAAATTCGAATCCAGATATTTGGATAATTTAATTGGAAAATATCCTGAAGAAAAGGAAATTTACATTGAAAGATCACCAATTACTCATGTCGATAATCTCAGAGTTCCACTCATCATTTTCCAAGGTGATGAAGATAAGATTGTTCCTCCAAATCAAAGTGAAATGATTTACAATGCAGTTAAGGAGAAGAAATTACCAGTTTCTTACACATTATTCCAAGGAGAACAACACGGTTTCAGAAAGGCAGAAAATATCAAAAAGTCATTGGATGGTGAATTCTACTTTTATTCCAAAGTTTTCTCCTTCCCATTACCTTCAAATCATCCAGAACATGGCAAGGTCACAATTGATAATTTGTAAGATACTTCATGAACCATCTTGAACTGTAAATAAATCTCAGATTTTTAATAGAACTCCTTCAATAATACCGCTTGTCAATTTGTGTGAATATCTTTGGTTCCATTACAAAGTTAGATAGATAATAAAAAATGTCTCAAAAGCAAACCATCACTTCTTCTCTCCTATTATCTCTCCTTGTGATCAATTCACTTTTAATCATTTCTATTTCTTCCCTTCCTGTCAATCAAACACATCACTACGTTCAGGACTATGTTTTTGATCATCCAAGTTGTTCACTCGATTCACTCGCTCAGGTAACTTTACTTCCAGCTGCCTTGTCCAGCACCAATGCTGCCTGTGTCAATGCAGGAAGATACTATCAAAAGACGTATTGTGATGGTGATGTTGGTATTGTAGAAAGTCATTGTGATGACACTTGTAACAAGTGTGAAAAAGTTAACAAGCTAGAAGCTGTTCCATGCACTTCCAACTCGAAAGGAGGATCATCTTTTCAATTTTGTGGAAAATTGGCAGTTACTGCCTTTCCAAAATTATTGTGGGTATTGGAATATGAACAAAGTGATGTTGATTGTGAATTGAAAGATAAAATGTTTAGAATTAGTGGATTGACCATTGATAAGTGTGAACAAGAGGTATCCAATCATGGATGGTATAGAACTTGCAATCAAACTCATTACAGTATTAAGGAATACTCTGGTGAAAAGTGTGGAAAATTGTACAGAGCTTACAATGGAAAGACCAATTTCTGTGAAGATAAGACAAGTTATGAATGTGTTTAAATAAAATGGGAAAATAATATTAATAACATAAAAAAAGTTATACCCTGTGGGACTCGAACCCACAACCCCCGGCTCCGTAGGCCGATGCTCTTCCAATTGAGCCAAGGGTACTTATGCTTAAAATAAAACATTTCTTATTAATAATGATAGTCCATGATTAAGGTTATTTCTGAATCCTTAGAAATCTAAACACAACCTGCAAGAGTTTTATTATTCCAATTATATTAAGATTGACTATAGCAATTGTTCTTGATCATTTTCCTTTTCGTACGAATTCATTTCTTGTTGTTGATAAATTACACCATTAGGTTCTTGTTCAACATTATATACTGCAATTGGTTGACCAAAATCTTGTTGAACCAATTTACTTCCATCATTTTGTGGATTTTTATGAACCATTGGTCGATCCATAATTAATAATTCCAAGTATGGAATTTTTCCCAAATGATTATAAGCATTTTCAGCATTCTCCTCATCTGAAAACATATCGTATCTCAAAATCCACTGAACTCCACATTGTAAATAATACGAATCATTTTCACTTCGAAGAAACCTTTCTAATTCCATTTTGCATTCGAAATTAATCATTCTCACATTGGAATCATTACGTTTAGAGGACACAAAACAGACAACCATTGGAATAATCATAAAGAATGGCATTGGAATTACTGGAAGCCAGAAATATTCATGTGGAATTACAAATACTATAACAAGAGCAATAAATGCCAAAAGTAAAAAGACACCTGACAGTGCGGTTAGGAAAACTAGCATCTTATGGGAGTCTCTACTGATTCTTGGAATGTGTTTCTGTAAGATAGAGGAACAGTTATCAATTGTCGAACGGAATTGATTTGGATCAACTCTATTGACAAGTGGCAGCACGAATTCAGAACAAAATTGATTTGTGCAAATATCAATTGGAATGCAAACAGTTTGATAGGAATTGTGTTGTTGCATTTTCAAACAAGATGGATCAATGTAGATCTTTGTGTTTTTTTTCTTGCTATTTATGCATTTCTTAATTAGAAACACACAAATATATGTAATTGGATTGGTACTGACCTAACAGTAATAATTGAGTAATTGGTTAAGCAAAAGTGGGTACCCACCATTTCTCTTTCAAAAAACAATCTAATTGGAATTTTATATTCAATCAAAAGTATCTGATCCTCAAATTATGTAGTTTGGTGGTTTGTATTGTAAGAAATTTTAATCAAAACATAATTAATTTTTAATTTTAACAAAATGTCAAAAAGTGAGAAGGTTGTTTGTTGCTGCGAATTATTATCGGAATCTAGAAGGATTTGGCAAAATGGTGAATCGTCTATGAAAGAAAAATTCATGGAAAAGTTGACGAAACCAATCGAAACAAAATTTTCCTATCAATGCCAATTGCAAGATCAATTTTATGGAATGAAAATTAAAGAATTTGAAATTTGCTACACGCTAAATTTAATTATTGGAAAATATGGTAAAAAATTGAAATTTCTCAATATGAAAACCAGAAAATTAATTCGAAAATTTAAATTTGTGGAATTTTTCGAGTTTTTAATTGAGGAAAGAAAAAATGGAATTTGTAATTTGTTTATTTCGAATGATGATCAATCTGTATGCTGTTATTCATTGGATAGGGTGTTATTGAGTGAATCTAATGAATTGATCAATCCAGTTTGGGAAGTTAAAAAAGTAGGAAGAATAGTTGACGTTTCGAATATGAATTCGTTTCTATTTGTTGTAAATTCAGATAAGAAAATGCTTTCTATACTAAATTCAGCAAATGGACAAGTCATTTCGACATTAATTTATGATTTTCCTTTGGAAATTGCTGATTTCAAATTTAATTATGAGTTTTCGTGTTTATGTGTTTCGGATAATAATTTGGGAATTGTACATATATTGAAATTTAATGAAGACTTTTCAAAAATTATAGAAAAGAAACAGATAGAAAGCGATGATTTTATTTCATGTCTCACATTTGATGATTCGAATATGATAATTTTGGGACCTAGCTCATTAAGTGTATTTCAAATGACTGAAAATAATGTCGAACTAATTAAGGAATATTTAGTTTATGGATCTCATTTGAGAATTGATAAAAGAAATGGTCATTTACTTTTATGTGGAGGAAATAGTAAATATATTAAAGTTTATAATTGAATTGAATCAATTGACTTAAAACTGGATAATGAAAATTAAACTTATCAACAGCAATAACATTACGGAACAAGCAAAATTTCCATTCGATTCTCCAACTCTTTCACTTGAAGTACTTCCACTACCTTTCACACCACTATTCGCTGCTGTTGGTTGACTACTTTTAATAGGAGTGACATTTGAAGTTGAAGCTGTCACATTTACAACAGGAGTATTAGTAGTGTAATACGGTCCTAACCAATAAGCTGGAAGAGCTTCTCCATGAGGTCCAAACATGACAGCAGCTGATTTACCATCACTTCTAGTATTAGCTCTGTAAGTGACATTTCTTGCTGACAAGATCAAATCATATTGATCATTTCTATGAATAATATATTGATTATTTTCAATAATTATATCAGTAATACGTTCTGGATATGCACCATTTTGAGGAGAAATCATTGAACCCCAAACATTGTTATCCTGCAAGCTTCCCAAAATGTTATTCGAAATGACATTAAATTGAGTAATCCAACCATTAGTTGACAAGGTAGCCTTGCACCTGAATGCATTTTAAAAGAGTGGTATCCTCCATCAATTGAAACCCCAGCAAAATGATTATGTCCAAAGAAAGTTTTGTAACATTGGGTGCATCTCATATTGTGAAATTTCGTATACTTAGCATAGTTTCCCATAAATGCAGATTTAGCAATGGACCCAAAGAAATTTCCCTGTGTAGTTGCTGTATTACCAACTGCAATATTGTCGACGTAGAAGAATTCTTGAGGATTGTAAAATGAAGAAATTGGAATTCTTCTATAAGGATCATCAAATATCCAATAATAAGGTTCGCCAAAACCAACACAAAGTGCATTATCACATCCAGTAATGTTATTTCTATAGAATAAATGTCTCTTGCCAAGAGAATCTAAAACGCCACCTGGAATTGACAGGTCCATAATTGAAATGTCAACTGGAAAATCAGGAGTATCTGGACGCCAAGATCCAACTCCAACTTTGGCAACGATTGGCAGTTGACTTGCTGATCCAAATGCACCCACTTGCACATTCGAATTTCCATCCTGAATTGCAATTTCGTCAAAAGTTTCGCCTCTTCTTAATAACCATCTTTTACCTGACCATTCAGTTCCTGTTGGGATGGTTTTCTGTTTGAGAGCACCACTCGGACATGAATTATAATTTCCACTCGTTGAAACACAAACAGTTTTGTTTCCAGCAAAGTCAACATTTGGATTGGTTAAAGTGACATCTGAATAGTAGTAACCAGGAGCACTGGCACGAATCCAAACAGTGTATGTTCCAGCATTATCATAAACATGAGCAGAAATTGGTCCACCTATTTGAGTATTCTTTGATTTTCCGTCAGTTGACCAATTGCCAGAGTTGACATCTCCAAAATCAAAAGAATAGGTAATATCACGGAATGCATCTTTTCCTGGGAGTGTAGTAGCAGTAGCATCAAAATGTACTGCTAAAGGAGCTGTTCCAGTAGTTCTTGATGGCTTGACAATTAAATTTGGCTTTTGACACAGCAACTTGTCAGTAAGACAAGCAACAATACAAAGAATAACACTGAACGCATATCAATTGTGTACGCTAATTTTTTAAATGATCTATATTGTGAACTCTTTTATCGGCAAAAAAACTGTTGGTCAACCAACTCTTAAATGATTTTGAAATGTGAAAGTTTAGAGTTCGAGCTAACAAGTTCTCAGACCAATTACTAGTAAGGCTAGTTGGAAAGAGTGAAAGTTCTCATTTATTTTGAAAGCTGTCTACTCGAAACTTGTTTGAAGAGTTTCTAATAATTTTTTTTGACAAGTTTGTGAAACTAGCGATTTATTCATTGTATAAAACTTAATGCTGAATAAGTTGAGTTAAATGGTGTTTTAAATTTGAATTTTTAATTAAAATATTATTATTTAAATTTCTAAATTAGGAAAGATACTAAAAGTAATCTGCTCAAAGTATTATTAATAGGTTAATTGAAAGAAATGGTGTTCAAAAGTTGCATGTCTGGGGAAAAAAACGCATTAACTATTCTATCATTTACTGCCTTTTAATCCTTCTTACATTTTATTCGAAAGGTTTCAACTTTCTTACCTATTCCTCATTACTTCCTCACACACTTCATTCCTCAAACTATTCTAAACAACTTCTTCATCAGATGAAATAAAAGTTGCATCATTTTCTCAATCTTAATTTCTCAAAGTAAAAAAAACAAAAGTTTAACTGAAAATAAACTGAAGTAAACTGAACTCCAGTTCATCAAATCAATCAAATAATATCACATTTAGTTTCCCCTTGGAGGCTTTTAAATTACCAAAACAAACCTCAAAGTGCCAAACATCAATCAAACAATACATAAAAAAAAATGCCAACAATCAAACTTGAAATTGTCGAAGCTCATAATTTAATGATCGCTGACATTACCAGCAGTGATCCATACGTTGAAATACAAGCCTCCAACGACAAGAAAATCCTCAAAACTAAAGTCATCAAGAAGAATTTAAACCCAGTTTGGAATGAAGAATTTATTATCGATCTGGAAAATCCAAAACTTGATACTTTGCAATTTACTGTGAAAGATTGGGATCGATTTTCAAAGGATGATCCATTGGGAAAATGTAAAATTGTCAATTTTTCGAATTTCATGATGGGACAGACAAATGACTTGTGGTTGAATTTGCAAGATAGTGAAACAGATGCGAAATTGCATGTGGTTGTGACGCCAATTGATTTTGGAAAGTGTTTGCCATGAGTTTGTGGTGTAAATTGATGTAAAATAATATATTCGAAAGTAATGTAAATAAAATTAAATTTCTTGCAAATTCATTATTGGCGCAATGCTTTCAGTATTTCCTATAAAATTCAAGTTCTCCGATTCCTTTTAACAACATTATGTTTCGTACTATCCAATTTGTTCGAAACAAAAAGAAACCAAACTATTCCAATCAACTAATAGAAACACATCCATTTAAATAAATAATTTCTTCACCAAATGAATTCATTTATTTAAAGAATTTAGTAACACCACTTTGTTTGTATTCATTTCTAGTCAACCAATCAATATCCTTAACATTCTTTTCAGACCAAACAGCACCACCAATGACAGGTCCAAAAGAATCTTCACCACGACTTGCTTGAACTTTGACAGCTGCTTTAACTTTGCTCTTCTTTACAATATCTTTCAATTCAGATTCAATTCTTTCAGACATTCCATTAAATAATAAATTACCACCACCAATGACAATGTTGGAAAGTAATTTGCCTAACAAATTCAAATCTTCATCAGCAGCTAATTTGGCAGTTTCGAATATTGTGAGAGGTAAATTGGAAACTTCACTTTGAGTGATACCAGTTAAGCTTGGTTCAAACATAATTTCTGGAATGAGGAAACATTCCTTATCGAGATTCATCTTTTCTCCACTCATTTCTAATTCTTGTTTGAAATCGGCAGGATTCTTTCCAAACAATTCGAATTCAGTTTTCAAATTCTTACAAGTGTAGGCCATTTGTGTCTTTATGTGTTGAGCAACACGATATTCATCTGCAGCATCAATTGCAAATCCAGATTTAGCAATAATTGAAATTGTATATTTAGTAGCATCTTGTCCAGATAAGGTAAATTTACGTGTTAATCCATATTGAGCTTTTCCATCAATAATTGGAGTAACATAGGTCAATGCACTTCCAGATTCAACACTCAATCCATTCTTTTCCTTTTGAGAAACACCTCTAAATGATAAAACACTTGGTAAATCAAAGTAAATGTGTTTCACTCTGAAAATTTCAAACAATAATTCAGCAATACTTTCAATATGATCTTGTGGCATTAAATTTCCAGGAATTCCAATTACAACTGGAAAGAGAGATGGATCTTTTTGAACTTGTTCGAAAGCAAATGTTAAAATTGCTTCCACTTGTTCCCAATCCATAATGAGTCCTCTCTGAATTGGATATCTGAGAGCATAACTTTCAGATGAATCTTTCTTTTTAGAGCTGGTACGAACTTTTTTAAGAGCTTGTTCTCCAACGAGATAATCTGAAACTGAAAGTGATTTAAGTTTATCAAGTGGATAGGCAACAACAGTTGGGAAGGAAATGACTTGATCAGGTTTATCTGACATGGCTACTTTGGTTTCCTATTTTTGTTGTGTAAGATTGTATATTTAGATTAGTTTGTTGTTATTATTATTGTTATTGGAAAGGTTTAGTTTGTTGTTGTTGTTGTATTATTGTGATGATGTTGATCAAAGATTAATGTGTTGATGATGATATTAAAATATTAAAATATTAAATGTTAAGATTAAGTTTAGAATAGTTTAGTTTTAAATTGCAATAAATGTGGAAACTTACATATGCTCCAAGATCGATAACAATGACTAAATGTTTGTACGAAATCATAATCAACAACATTAACATTGCAAGCAATTAATCAACAATTTTTTAACACAAGAAGAATAAGAAAGTTTAGAAACTATTCGAAACTAACCTGGTCCAGAGACATCATCATTAGTTGCAGAAACTACCTTCTTAACAGTGGTGGTAGTTGTTGTTGCTGGTTGAGCATCAGTTCTTTTTGGTGGAGGCATTGATGATGTTTTTTTTTGAAAGATTGATGTGTTGATTGAAGACAAATTGAAGACGACTTAAGGTCATTGATGAAAGATCGATACAGTTTTAAAAGAATGTAATGGATTTAAGATGATCTCTCTATCGCACACGTCATTCATGGACTTGTTTTGGTGTGCGACTTGTCAGCAAAGAATTAATAGGCTTATTAGTGGTGAATTGAAGATTATCACAATTATCGTAAAGCGGTCTTGACCGAGTGGTTAAGGTGATTGACTAGAAATCAATTGGGGAGACCCGCACAGGTTCGAGTCCTGTAGATCGCGATAGATTTTCTCTTTTGGCATTTTGAACATTTCTTAATGATTGCATAATTCACAAAAGTAACAAAGCTCAAAATTGTATCTTTATAGTAATTAAGGGTTTATTATTTAATGTTTGAAATTAAACAATTAAATATCCAAATATTTACATAATAAATAATATTATTTAAAATCTTTAAAAAATGTCCAACAAGCAAGAAATTCTCTCACTCTATCGGAATTTGCTCAAAAACATGAAATACTATCCGAGCATGAGAAAGGATGGAATGATTCAAGCCATCCGTGAAGAATTCAGAGCCTACAAGAATGAAACCAATCCAAAAAAGCTTCACAATAAAATTGGTGAAGCAAGAGGAGGCTTGGAAAGATTGAAATCCTATGCACATGTTGGAAAAGACTTGAATCAAGGCAAATCGCACTTTACTCTTTAATTCTCTTCGGAAATAATTTCCAACACACTTGCTTTGATAATCAATTATCGGAAGAGTTGATGGATTTAATATTTAATAATATGGATTAACTAGTATTGTTATTGATGAAAAGAATGAATATTGATATGATTGTTTACTTTACAACACAACAGAGAGTTAAAGTAAAATCATAATCTAAAGAGCAACAAGGCACAATATGAATAAATTTATTGGCACTTCGCACATCAATGAATTGAATTTCAGTAAGCACTTCCCATTCTCTAACTTTTTCTAATTGGGCATCTCCTCGTTCTTGGTATAACACATTTCAATCATCTCCATTGTTAACCATCTAGGTAAGTGAGGTAACTACTGATGGATAATTGGCAGGACATTAACACAATTTCACAGATTGACTTGAACATCAGTTACTTACCAAAGAGCACCCTCCTTACTGAAACAATTATCATCCCTTTACATCAACATTCATACCAAGGTGGAGGAGGTGTTATTCAGTCTTTCTCCCATTAAAAATAATCATCATGATTGAAAACGTCTGGATGTTTCGAACAGCTTCCTGTCAACATCGCAGTCGTTAATTTTAAAAAAATGGTAAAGCCAAAATCCGTGACACATATTAAAATCGCAATTTGTGGTAATCCAAACACTGGAAAGAAGACTTTTGTAAGTATTATAGTAATGTGTTAATGCTGATAATTGACATTTTGACATTTCGAATATTCATTATTGAATAATAACAATAACAAAATATTTCTTCTTCTTCTCTTACTTTTCGAATATGAACAACAACAATAATAATATAGGGTGCCACTTTCCATCATCGTGAAATTATGGATAAGAAGGATGAAAACTCCAACCGATACACCATTTCCAACGACTGTCTCGATATTGAATTTTTGTATATACAACCATCAGCAGGATCTTCCTTTGAAGATGTTCAACCAGAGGTATGTTATTATTGGTCGAACGCTTGAATTTCTAATTCTTATTGTTATTATATCATAATATTCTTCAAATTGATGACGAATATTTTGCTTTTTATTGTTGTTGTTATATTATTATTATTATTAATTTCATCATATATTATGAATGTATTTCCACTCTGAATGGCTACTAACAGGATATACCTTGGTATGATATTGATGCCTTCATTCTCTTTTTCTCCGTTGATGAAATGAACAGTTTCTCCCAAATGCAAGTCTTCCACAAATCCTTCGATGTTCTCCAACAAGAAGAGAAGAATACCTACGGATTACTCAAGCCATGTATTTGTATTGGTAATAAGTGTGATATTGCAGACATTGTGAGAGGTGAGTTGTTGTTTTTTATCAATTTTAAAATTCTAACGTTTTTTTTATTATATTTCTTCTCCTATTTTGCTTTCCTTTTCATAATGTTATTATTATTTGTTTTGTTATATATTATGTAATATCAATTAATAATTTAATATTTCATTATCATGATGATGAAAAATATCAAAATTTACATTGTATGAAAAAACGCGGGAAAAATCTTTAAAAAAAATGATCACTTGATGAAAATATTCAAAAACATTCCCTCAATGATGATAATGATGATGAATACTATAAATTCATAATATGATGATGATATAAAGAGGTTCCTTTGGCCACTGCAATCAAATTTAGTGATAGTTCAAGTGCTCCTTATTTTGAAACAAGTGCCAAGACTGGAAAGAACGTCTCTGCTGTGATTGAAGATTTAATTAAACAAATTTTGAGATATAGGAAACAAAAGGAACTTTTGAATACTCAAAAGAATACTAAACAAGGAGGTACTCCAACAGGACAACAAAAGAAGACTTCATTCTTTAGAAGTAGGCGAGATGTTGAAGATGATGATTTGTTCAACTCTAATGCTTAATTGTAATTATAAATTTTATATTTTCTTATGAATTATTTTGAACTATTCTATTTCATTGTAAATCAAGATCATATTCAATTAACTATTTAATATGAGATTTTTAAAATTACAAAAAAAATGAAAAGACTTCAAATTGCTTGTTGTTTCGATAAATTCAAAGATAGCTTGAAAGCAAGAGAGTGCGGAAAGGCAATCATGCAAGGTTTAGGACAAGTTAATTATGACTTTGTTAATATTCCCTTATCGGATGGAGGTGAAGGTTTTCTTGAAGCCATCAAGAAGGATCAAGAAGGAAATTATCAACTCGATCATGTTCAAGTGAGGAGACCTGTTAGAAATTCCGATTTGATGATAACAGTTCCATATTTTAGAAAACAAGTGGAGAATAATTTTCTCTATGTTTTGGAGATGGCCACGGTGTGTGGATTGGAATTATTGAAAATGGAGGAGAGAAATCCATTCAATACGAGTACGTTTGGATTGGGAGTGGTGATTGGGAATATTCTGAAACAACATGGAAAGAAGGATCATATTCACATCTTGATGGGAATTGGTGGATCTTGTACGAATGATGCTGGATTGGGATGTTTGAAATGTTTGGGATGTGTTGATATTGAGCTAAATGGAAAATTGATGAGTAGTGGAGAAGTTTTCTGGGGAGGAGATTTGATTAATATTTCTGATATTTTAATTAACACTGAAGGATTACCATTCCAGTATGAGAATTTAACCATTGATATTGCATGTGATGTGAATAATCCATTTATTGGAGAGAGGGGAGCTGTACATACTTTCAGCAAGCAAAAGGGAGCCACTGAAGAGCAACGAGAAATTTTAGAGAAGGGCATGAATCAAGTTGCAAAGTTAATTCAACGACACCAGAATATAGATATCAGTAATTTGAGTGGTGCTGGAGCAGCTGGTGGCATTGCAGGTGGTTTCTATTCAATACTGAATGGACAAGTCAATCTCAAAAAGGGAATTGAAATGATTGGAGCAATTAATAACTTGGAACAAGTCATTTCTCAATCAGATATTGTCTTTACAGGAGAAGGTAGTTATGATCACCAATCAGAAGGTGGTAAAGTAGTGTCATGGATTGCCCAGCTCTGTAAAAAATACTCAAAACCTTGTATTATTTTATGTGGGCAGAAAAAGATAGAAACCTTACCAAATGAGAATTGCCTTGCCTTTGATCTCATATCCAAGTTTAAGTTAGAGGAATGTATGAGTAATACATTTGAATGTTTGGCACAACTTGCAAAAGAGCACGAAAATGATATTCTAAAAAAACGACAAGGTATTTTAAATTAATTTTGTTTTAATAAATAAGAGAATTAGATGGTTCACTTGTCACTACTTAAAGTGCACAATGTGTTTTGGGTAGGTTGTGTGTAATTTACAGAATAGGGAAGAGAATTTAAGCACCACAGACGAGGCATTCTTCTTCGTCTTCTTCACCTTCAGGTGGAGCTTGGCCTCTCTTCTTTCTTTTGCAAACGATAACTTCTTCTTCTTGCTTTGGTTCTTCAGCTTGTGATGTTGAAACGCTTTGCTTCATCATGTTTGGATCGACAGTGAATTGGATGGCATCGGCGGCTGGTTGAGTTCTCAAATAGTACATACCAGTCTTCAACCCCTTAGACCAAGCATAAAAGTGCATAGAACTCATCTTGGAAACTGATGGAATTGAAATGAAAACGTTCAAAGATTGAGATTGATCAATGAATGGAGATCTTTCAATGGCAAGATCCAACAAGCTTCTTTGCTTAATTTCCCAAACAGTCTTGTACAATTCCTTAATATCATCAGGGATACCTTGGATATTTTGGATGGAACCTCTATTACCAATAATTTGGTTAACAATAGTTGGATTCCACATGTCAATCTTGATCAAATCAGCAACAAGATGTCTGTTAATGACTGGATATTCACCACTCAAAACACGTCTAGTATAAACGTTTGATGTATATGGTTCGAAACATTCATTGTTGCCCAAGATTTGACTGGTGGAAGCAGTTGGCATTGGTGCAACTAAGAGACTGTTTCTGACACCGTGTTGCAAGACTTGTTGTCTCAAACCTTCCCAATCCCATCTACCGCTGGTAATAGTCTTACCTTCGAATGGTTCACCTTCTCTGGTCCAGAATTCGTGTTGGAAGATACCCTTACTGATTGGACTTCCTTCATAGGTTTCATATGTTCCTTCAACCTTAGCAAGTTCCATTGAGCAGGTCATGGCAGCAAAGTAAATGGTTTCAAAGATTTCCCTGTTGAGGTTTTTAGCTTCTTCACTTTCGAATGGAAGACGCATCTTGATGAAAGCATCGGCCAAACCTTGAACACCGAGACCAATTGGTCTGTGTCTAAAGTTACTCTTCTTGGCTTCTTCGACTGGGTAATAATTCTTATCAATAATCTTATTCAAATTGTAAGTGGCAATCTTGACAACTTCGTATAACTTTTGGTGATCATAGGTTTGAGTTTCTTCATTGACATACTTTGGAAGAGCAATACTGGCAAGGTTACATACAGCAACTTCATCAGGAGCAGTAAATTCAATAATTTCAGTACACAAGTTAGAAGACTTGATGGTACCAAGGTTTTGTTGATTGGATTTTCTATTACAAGAATCCTTGTACAACATGTATGGGACACCAGTTTCAATTTGGGCTTCAATAATAGCAAACCAGAGTTCTTGAGCCTTGATGGTTCTCTTGGCCTTTCCTTCTCTTTCATATTTGGTATATAATTGATTGAATTCTTCACCCCAAACATCAGCAAGACCTTGAGCTTCATTTGGACAGAAGAGTGACCATTCGGCATCATCCTTAACACGTTGCATGAAGAGATCGTTGACCCATAAACCCAAGAATAAATCTCTAGCTCTGATTTCTTCCTTACCGTGATTCTTTCTCAAATCCAAAAAGTCAAAAATGTCAGAGTGCCAAGGTTCCAAATAAATGGCAAAGGCACCCTTTCTCTTACCACCACCTTGATCGACATATCTGGCAGTGTCATTGAAAACTCTCAACATTGGAATTAAACCATTTGATGTTCCGTTTGTACCTCTAATGTATGATCCAGAAGCTCTAATATTGTGAACTGACAAACCAATACCACCAGCAGACTTGGAAATAAGGGCACAAGTCTTAAGGGTATCATAAATACCATGAATGGAATCATCCTTCATAGAAACGAGGAAACAAGAACTCATTTGTGGAATTGGAGTACCAGCATTGAACAATGTTGGAGAGGCATGAATAAACATACCACTACTGAGTAAATCATAGGTTTGAATGGCTCTTTCAATGTCACCTCCGTGGATACCTAAACTTACACGCATAAACATGTGTTGTGGTCTTTCGGCAATACGACTATCGGCAAGTTTGAGCAAGTAGCTTCTTTCGAGAGTCTTGTATCCAAAGTAATCGAATTGGAAATCTCTTTCACTCTTGATGGCTTGATCCAAAACATCCACATTGGCAGCAACAACATTAAAAACTTCTTCGGAAATTAATGGTGATGGCAAATTAGTTCTTGGGTGGATGAAGTTACGCAAATCATGAACGACTTCAGAGAATTTTGACTTTGTGTGTTTGTGGAGGGTAGAAACTTTCACTCTACCAGCCAACTTTAAATAGTCAGGATGAGAATAGGCCATATAGGCAATACATTCAGCAATGAGGTTGTCCAACTTTTCAGTGGTAATATCGTTGTGAATTTCAAGTTGAAGCTTTTCAATGATAGAATCTATATTAATGTGATAGAGATCCTTGGTGTGGTCTTGGAGTCTGATTCTAATCTTTTCGGAGGAGAAGAGTTCCTTCTCTCCACTCTTTTTAACAATTAGAGTCATGATAATTATTAAATACTATGACGGGAAAACTTTTGACTACTAAAAAACTTAGAAACGAATTGATCCTAGGTAATGAAGGTTAGATTCGTTGTGTGTACGATCAATTAAAAAATGATTGACTACTAGAGTATGTTGAACAAGATAACGCTGGGAGGCTTTCAATTTGTTCGCAACTTGCTTTGCTTGTTTTTTTTTGTGGTGATTTTAAAAATTGGAGGGAAAAGTCACACTCTTAGATATATCAACGGTTAGTTTTAGCGGGTTCCATTTGGCGCCAAACACAAAGCGTAACTAAAAATTTGTCAGTTACATTACATTTCACAATTTGCTTATTGGAAGTTTCGTCCAATGCAGCCGGCATCATTTCACCAGGTAGGCACAATCGAAAATGGCAAGTCTCATCTACAACTTTCGCGTATTCATCATCAACTCTGCCACTACTCAAACACTTTCAATTCTTGCTTGTCTCAAAATATCATTCAATTCCTTTCCCTTCGTTCATACGATCAATCGCACCAATTTTTGAATCAAAACTCTAAAATCTCTCTCAAAATCCTACAACCACGAAAATAGGACTTCCTTCCCTCCTCCATACATCATCCATTGGTTCCTTATGGAAATTTTCAAAATTGCTTCTTCGTTCAATTACTTAATTGCTTGAAAATTTTCGATGATTCTTAAAATAAAACTCAAAAAAAAACAAAGAACGAGTTTGCTCGAACTACCCCTGACCTCAATTCCAAAGTTTCTCCTCAATCAGAATTTGATATTGTTGTATAAATAGGAGTTGTATAGAGTTTGTAAAAATGATTAGTAAAGCTGTTGATAATACGAACAGTGGAGTGGAGGTTGTTTCTGAAGCTAGTTTGAAAGGAAAGGTAGTTGATCAGTCTACTGCTTCAGTTTCTTCGGATTCTTCAGAGACGAAATCATCTTCTTCATCATCGGATGAGTTTAGAGTCAATCCAGATAAGAAGGATACATTGATAGGAAAGTTTCCCTATCCACCACAATCAAGAAAATCACTACTGGAAATGAAAAGTAGTGAAGGTTTTTTGAATTTGTTTGGATTATTGTTGGTTGTTTGGTCTGGAAATGTAATGTATCATAATTGGAGACAGAGTGGGCAACTGATTGACTTTACTTTATTGTTTACAATGTTGAAAGGTGTGCATTTTGTAATTGGATATTGGTTTTCAATAGTTGCATTTTCTTTGATTTATTCAGTGTTATCTGAGTTTATTCTTATTCAATTTGCTCAAAAGAAGAGATTGTCTCCTTTTTGGGATGGAATTAATTGTACAATTTATGCACTTGCACAATTGACTATGTTTGCAGTTCCTACTTGGATAGTTTTCAACACTGATAGTATGAGTCCTTTGTGTAGATCTGCTCTTGGTTGTCAAACAGTTGTAAATAGTTTCAAAATGCATAGTTATTTCATCACGAATAGATATTTCAGAGAGGAAATTGTCTATGAAGGGAAATACGCTCAAAATGGAAACAAGCCGATTTTCAATAATCGTTATGAGAAGATTAGGTGTGAGTCCTATTCACATTGGGAAAGATTGTACTGGTTGGTGTTTGACTTTGTAGAGTATGTGAGAATTCCAAGTTTGGTCTATGAAATAGAATTTCCAAGAACTGATAAGGTTGATTATCGATATGTGGCAAGAGAATATGGTGGAGGTCTATTGATTTGCCTTGTAATGTATCTCGTTATTCAAAGACACATCTCACCATTCTTACAGGAAATTGAGACCTACGATTGGTATGATTTGATCATTAATTTGACCATTCCTTCCATGATAATTTGGATGCTGACATTCTATTGTGTCTTTCACTGTTTTATGAATGCAACTGCAGAGATGGTTAGATATGCTGATAGAGAATTCTATCTCGAATGGTGGTCTGCAACCAGTGTCTCTCAATATTGGAGATTGTGGAATAGACCAGTTCTCAAATTCATGTCCAGACACATCTATGTGGAGAGTATGAGACGAGTCAAGGGATTCAACAAATTCTGGGCTGCCACATCAACATTCTTTGTCACTGCCGCCTTGCATGAATTTGTACTAATCTACACTTTTAGAGTCTTCAGACCATACTTCTTCTGCATGGTCATTTCTCAAATTCCACTCTTCTACGTTACAGAAAAAGTCAAAGGAACTCGTTTCGGAAATGTAATTCTGTGGTTTGGTTACATGTTATGTTTCCCATGTATGGAATTATTATACTTTAGAGCTTCTCTTCGTGAAAGAGGTCCAAACTTTTAATATGTTCCCTGTTCAATGGTATAATACAACTCAATTCCAAGCACTACTCACCACACAACACAAGAATTGAAATAACATATTTTGTGATATTCAATGAACTTGGAACTTTTGTAAAAATTGTAAATAGCAACAGATTTGATTCAACTCAATAAAAACCAATACAAAAAAATGAGTTCCTTCCTCGATGATATTCGTTCTGGAGTTTCCCTTCGTAAAACCAACACAAAAAGCAAGCAATCGACCAATTCACGAATGATTTGCTCATCCGATGATGATTATCAACACTTATTGGAAGAAACAAATTTTGATACCTATTTCAAAGTAATTGAGCCATTTTCCTTCCGATCATTGCAAATGACATTGGAAAGAAGTGAAATCAAGGCATTGATTGATGAAAATGAAAAATTCAAGAAGTGCGAATTTCCACAAAATGAAAAAGATAATGTAGTGGAATATGATGAGTGGAAAGTTGGAGAAAATGCAAAAATTTTGAATAATTTAGCTGATAGAATTAGTAGTAAGATGAAGGAAATGGAAGAATTGAGTGGAAGAAGTGGAGTTTTTATTAGATTGTCAACTCTTTCACCAAAGGATGCAGCCATTAATAGAAAAGGATTTGTCAAGTTAATTCATGAGGAATATTTGAATATTTTGAAGGAGAGTGAGCTATTGGATGATAAATCATTGGATAAGTCAGAGAAGACGAATATTATCATGTATGCATTATATAGAGCAAGCATTTCAATTTTGAAAATTTACAATGGACATGAAGCAATTCAATTATTAATTGAATCAAAGAGAGCTCAACAAGAATTCAAAGCAATGTTGGATAGTCCAACAAAATCACCACTTGATCTTATTATTAGAGAGGTATGTTTACTAGTTATGAATTTTCAATTTGTTAAAGTTCTTTGTAATTATTTTGAAAAGTGGAACGACTTTGATGTAGCTCATGAATTTAGAGCCTTTGTTTACAATAGAAAAATTACAGGTTTAACCCAATACAACCCAGTTGTCTATTTCCCAACGCTTTTCAAACAAAAGGATCAAATCAAACACCTTATCATTTCATTCATCTTGGAAAATATTGTAAACAATGCAGAATTACCAATTTCAAACTATGCAATCGATATTATTCTTGTCAAGGACATGACAAATGGAAATTTAATTGTGAAAATTGTTGAATTGAATCCTTTGGCTGAATTTACAGGAACTGTTTTATTTTCTTGGGAAGAGGATCGTGAGATATTAATGGGAGATTGTAATGCTAATTTTGAATGTGAATTTCGAATGTTAAACGGAGTGGCCAAGTTTGCAGCTGTGAATTGTGGACCTGAATGGCAAGTTGCACTGAAAAAGCTTCATCAATACTTTTTACAATGAAAAACAAAAAGTTCAATCTTTTGTCAAAATTGTATGATTTGTTTGCTTATTGCCATATTACATTTGAAAGTGTCATAATTTGGATAATTGTGGGAAAATTACCTTGTATTTAAAAAAAGACTACAGCACCACAGGTTCCCAAGTTGTCTCCAACCTCAGTACTGATGTGGCTCGACGATGCTTAACTTCTCAAATCGGACGGGATGAGGTGCATTCATCGTGATATGGCCGTAGCCATTCATTATCTGAAAATGTGAACAATAAATCATATCAATTCATTTCCTTAAATTAAGGTTTATATATCATTCCTTATGAAGCACATTTCGAATATTCATTACAGCAACTAATCAATTTGGAACATATTGTAAACCAAAGAACTCGTACGAACATATCCACATTATAATTCAATTCAATAAAAAATGTTTAAACACCTTGGCTCTCTTCTCAGTAGTAGTAGTAGTAGGAAGAGAGTAATGATGAACAAATCATCAATAACTACCCTCCTCCATTTTCAAAATCACTCTGCTCAGCAATCAACAACAAATTATCATGATCGGGAATTTGCAACATTTGTCAACACTGATATTGTTAACACATTGGCAACACCAACTTCCAAAGAACAACTTGTCAAACAAATAGCTGGTATTAAAAACATGGTTTCTTCTCCTGCATTTGAAAAAACCACAGTTCATCTTGCTTTAGATGAACTCAACAAGAAAATCAAAGAGAATCAAAGAGAATTCCCTGATAAAGCTCTTCCTACTGGTATTTTTAACGAATTGGTACAAAGTACCATACGAAACTTTTCTTTCTATACAATTATAAACAGAACAATGGAAAAAGATGAATATGAATTAATTGAGAATTTAGATGAGATGAAGAGACAGGCCATTTATGTAATGTTAAATTTTTCAACTTTTAATGGTTTATTGATTAAGGGAATTTTTCAAGAGTGGTTTAGTTTTGAAGATTTGAAGAATTTGCATGTACTCCTTTCGAGTGGAATAGATATCGAGGGAAAAGATCTTGTGTTGCATGATCAAGTGACTTATTATTCAGCAATTACTGAACTATTATTGAGAGAATTTGTGAATATCGAAAGTGTGACAACCAGAGAAAAACTCATGTGCATGGTTAATTTAATCTGTTTGGAACTGGGAATGAATTTACAAAATGCAACAGCATTGATGCATAGATTTATTGAATTGTATCCAGTTGTGAAACAAAAGTATACCACACCATCTGAAGGAGATATTGACAAGTCGTGGACAGATATTTTAGAGAAGGTCTATTCTGAAGATGAATTTGATTGGTACCACGATTTGGAAACAGATCTTCCAATTCATTTAGGTGGCATGTATAACATCTTTCAAGAGTTCGTTAAAGATGGTTCAATGTTGAAAGTATTTGAAGAAGAGAGTAAGAGAGCTCCCAAAAATCCATACATTCCCTATGTCAAACTGATCTGCACTAATGACATCTCTTGTACCACTCAATGTTTGAATATCTTGGCAAATTCTCAAGCACCTTCAAGAATGGAAGATTTGAAGCGTATGGAATTATTCGAAATTTTCAAGAATAAGAAACCACACTCAAGAATCAAGGATTTCAAATTTTTCCCTCAAATACTCGCCAGAGTTAAATATCTATGCATCAATGAAGCTCCTTCTTTATTGGATTCAACAATGTTATTGGATCAAGTGGAATACTATTCAAGAGTACCAACTCATGTTGACCTAATTGTTACAAAGTGTTTGAATCATCTCAGAGCTGGACGATTGGAAGAGGCCTTACAAAATTATCAAGTTCTCTCCTATTATGAAAAATCAATACCCAACAAATTGCTATTGTTCATCACCAATAAGGTTATTAGACCAATGATCATTTTGGGTTATGAGAATGAGGCTATTGAGGTCGTTGACAAATTTAAGAATAAGTTTGGGGATGAAGATTCACAATGGGAAAAACTCTTGCAAGCAACTATTACTGAAGTTGAAAAAAGGAAGAAATAAAAAACGTTGGAATGAGACACAATATCTCAATACAAGTCTTCTGTTCTATTATAAACACAAACGTGATTGAAATGATATTTTTGGTTCAAAAACGTGATTTTGCAAAATAAAAACCTTTAAATTCACAAAAGTTCACAAACATTTTTCAAAAACAAGAAAAAAACTAATTCAAACTAATTCAAAACTATTCTTGCATATGAAATGCCATCAAACAAATCAAGTGATGTTGCTTCTTCCTCTGCCAAACAACAAAACGGATTTTATGCACGTTCTGTTCTGAAAAGATTGGTCTCTGCTCCCTTACTTGAAGTTCGATTTGACAAGGATTTGATCATAAAATTGGATGGAAAGGAAGCTCCTTTCGTAGTTAGAGAAGTGACCATGAATGAATGTGTCGAATCAACATTCCTGTTAAGTAATAATAATGGACGAATGGAGTGGCCAATTGAAATTTTCAGCAAGATTCCAAGTCGAGTTGAAAGTACTTGCTCAATGACTTTCTCAATTCTCAATTTGGTTGGAGTATTATTTAAGGTTAGCTTGGATGTTGTTAGAGTTATTGAAGGTCACTTTGTAAAGTTTTGCCCAAATGCAATATTGGTCGATATCATATATCAAATGGATGCTCAAGAAATCACGCCTTTCTCTGGATTAGTTGTTAAGCCAACTCGTATTTTTGAAATTCCATCAAAGTTTGAATTGAAGGAAAATAGTTCCTCAGATGGAAATTTGGAATTTGTCACAGTATTTCACAATATTTATTTGGGTAATTTCTCTTTAGTGTAAAACCATCATGAACAATGTCTACCTACTAATTCTACAGACGATCGAATAGTTAACATTATTTCACCAAAACTCACTTAAAATATTTCAATCATTTATTCCATATTTAACTCCCAAAATTGTTTAAACTATCAAATATTCTCAGTATATTGCTGCCTACGTTTCCATTCTTTATACTTGTGTCCAATAATGGTCAATAATGCAAACACACTAAATAATCCAATCATTCCTCCCAAAACTATCAGTAAGGTTGCCCACCAAGGAAATCTTGTTGGATAAATCTTGAAGGTAACCTTGTAATAATTCTCCAATTTATCTTTGCACATTCCTGTTCCTAATACTTGGAAATAAACAGTTGTGTTTCGAATGGGTATTTCCTGAGATGAGCTCTCAATTACAAGTGGTGTGGAAATGGACTCTTTTTTTGCATCATAATGAGTAGAATTAGCCACACTTCCAATCTTTACATAAATTGTAATATCTTGACGATCTGAACTGAATGGATAAAATTTTGTAAACATGTATGTGACTTCCATGCTATCCACAGTATAATCACTCGGTATTTCAAATCCATAATCATTGGCTTGTGTGCAAGAGACAGAACCTCTAATGTCAACTGTTGTGAAAGGTTCTTTTGGTGTGAAAATTAACATTTCAATGTTGGAATTTGGTTCGGAGGAAATGGTATGGACAAGAGTCACAGTTAGAAACAAGGACAATAGGAAGAGTACAATGCATAGAGGATGATTCAATACTCGTGGATACAGCATCATGTAGCCAATTTTTTTCTGCTCTATTTCGGTTATTTATTAGTCATCCAAATTAGTCTTTTCAATCTTTAACATGATAACACAGGGGGGAACATAGAGATCATAAATGGCCTGAAACTCGTGTTACTTACCAAAGGTACCAGACTTTGCTCTCGGAATTCATGTACATTTAACTTCACACCTTCATCTGAAGAGCCCTTCATATTCACGTTTGGTGCACCTTCCTTTGAAATTTAGAAGGTGTTATGTTTTGTATTTATAATGATATTAATAAATAAAGTTTCCAATAACAAATTAACATGTTGCACAACCAACTCAGAACCTCATCTACTCAATATATGTTGAATAGGTGGTTTACTACGTATTGTAAAGAGCTTGTTGGTGCCACTTCTATAGTTTGGAATATTGAGTATTTGGAAATTACCACTCATATTTTTGGCAGGAATTTCTATTATGGAAATTTTTTGAAAACGATTACTATATTAACAGAGGTCGTGTATAATGACTTAAACATATAAACATTTCACAATAGGGTCTCTACATCATCCTTCTGTTGTTTTAAAAATTTCTCTGGTGCCAGATAAAGGATGTATGAAAAAGAGCTTGCCTGAAGGGTAGGCTTGTTTTGACCAGCAATTTATCAGCAGAGAAATTTCACATTCATTTCTAACAAAAAATAAATATATTGCACAATCGTTTCAAGTCTTCTAATATTTAGAGTTTGTAGTCTACATTGTTTTACATATTATGTGAAACGTTGAACAGTGCCACAATGGTATTTACTAGGAATGAACATGACTAACAGAACGATACCAAGTTTGGCTACAAATACTTTTCAAAAAAATTACATCCTTAAGGCAACAAACAATACAACCTTACACAAGGATTTCGCTTTTTCATCAATTCACTATAGAATCTATTGGTAATTACATCTCTCTTTTTGACTGGAGGTGAGGTCAATTAATATATTCATTTGGAAAGAAGGTTTTTTATTGTTCTTTCGGAAAGTGGCTTAAATTTACTTCTTCTGAAAAACTAAAAATTTCCAATCACCAATTTACTATGAATTCATAGTATTCAAAATAACAATTTTAGAATATATTGATCAATACATGTTTTATAGAAATATCTGAGTACTTAGATTGTTTTCTCCATATATTCATTGAGAAAATAATTCTTGAATATATTAGTAAAATTACCCTCTATTTTTTTGTTTAATATTTCAAAAAAAAAATAACTCACGAAACATCATCATCATCATTAATGACGTTTCAAGATGACATCAAGAAAAAATCAACAAACTTCTCACGGCTGACATGGTTGTAAAATTCTGTTCTGTTTGCAACTTGGGTCACAAAAAAGGAGTTAGACAAAAAAATTAAAAAACTAAAAGTTGAAGAAGCTGAAAGCAAATCTGAACTGTACCAACAAATGGTGAATTTAATTGACAATTATTCAAAAAATGGAAATGATCTTGATTTTCACCTCATTAGAATTAAAGATGAAATGGAACGAATTATACATCCCAACACAACTAAAGAGTATCCACAATGTGTAAAGAATTTTTGGAAGTTTGCTAGATTTTATTCATCAGAAAAACTAATAGATATTTTCAGGGGATCCAATGGTTGCAATATACAAGCTCCTCATAAGAACACACTTAAAACCTGGAACAAGGGACTATTATATGGCCATCTTTATACTGAAGAGAGTATCGAGAAACTGACCAAAGAATTCACATCTAAGAAAAATCAAACTTCGTTTAGTTTAATTAGTTGGGATATTGTTACCGTGCGATCTTTATTGACATGTGTGAAGGGAAATATTTTTGGATTTGAAAATGGTCCTAAATCATTTTTAGAATTATTACAATTAGAAATAGATAATATTGATTTATGTGGAAAAGTGGTAGTTTTTGAATTGATAGATACAGCTGGTTATTTCTCTCTTCCTGTAGCTGCATTTAATTTACCAGGAAAGAATGCTCAGGCTGAGGTATTGAAATATTTGCAAGAAATAACTCAGAAATGGAATAGGAATGACATTGAAATAGTTGGTAGTTGCGCGGATGGAGAATTTAAAATTGATACAGTCGAAAATTATATGAAACAATATTATACTGAGTGGTATCATGTTGATGCTAATAAAGATTTATATCCATTAAAGCAGGTCTCAAGGCTGAATCACCTTAAAGGTGAAACAGTCCCTGAGCTTTAATACCCATTAGTATAATTACTTGTTCTCAATCTTGTTTTTATTAATTTGCAATGTAACATGTTGAAGATTATATACACATTCTCAAAAGATTAAGGAATCCAATGATGGATAATGAAGTTGTATCTTTGCGAGGAATTATCTATCTTGCTATTATAACACCATTTTCGAATTAATTCGAATTTATCCAACAATACACCAATAAATTCGGAAATTATGAGCTTTATTCTACTACACGCACGTAATAGATTATTTTCAACACTGAACAACCACAAAACCAATTTCTACTAATCTATTACCCTTGAAATACTAGCAAACCGAATAATGGTTGACAAGATGAAAAACTTGAAAATTAATTTTCAAGAAAATCTTGCCTAATTGTAATAGAATCAATTCCATTACAATTACCTCGTCCAATACTACAACCATTATTCAAACACCCACAGAGTCTTTGACACTCCAAAAAATCCCCTCACCAACCCTAGAACCCAGTTCTATGTTGACCTATTGAGCGCAGATCTTCATCAAGCATCAAATTTGATCACCTCTATAACACCTAAAAATCCCCTCACCAACCCTAAAACCCAGTTCTATGTTGGCCTATTGAGCGCAGATTTTTAAGCACCACAAAGTCCTTGATAACACCACTAATAAAATAACAATAAAGACGTATCAAAAGAATTAATATACTCACCGAGTGTTGGGGTGGGTGGTGGGGAATCAAAGTATTAAGCTTGCTCAATGTTGAAAATTTTTTAGACAAATTTTCCTATTTCTTGGTGTATTGTTTACAATAAACTTTAGTGAGTTGAATACTTACTCCAATTTATCCAACAATACACCAATAAATTCGGAAATTATGAGCCCATACTAGCAACCTAATTCTTTTGATACGTGATTGGCTAAAACTTAACCACAAACTCAACTATCTAGATAAACCATACAAGCTAATTATTCCATATAAATGGAGAATGTGCCTTCAAGGAGCCTGAATCCATGCATTAGCTTAAATCAAAACATCACCTCTCTGGAGAACATCAAGTCAATGATTACTAATCGTGATGAATAAATAGGTTTCGCTGTGAATGGATCATTAAGGGTATTCAATTTTGGAGGTCAACAGGAATATTAATAACATGTGGAAGTGGCGGTGTGTGTTCAAGATTATATGCTTGGCTGATAATATTTTCAAATTTAAAACATCTAGCCCATAACTCATTATGTCCAATATATTCGGAAGGATTGATTGAAGCCCTGAATCCTTTGTTAGCAATCAAGTTACTGTTATTAGGTGAGATGGAGACTTGCTGGTTCATCAGTCTTAAGGTTCATGAATTTCATAAAAGACTAGAGAGCCTAAGGTGGAAGTGATGAGTTGTCTCCACTTATTCCGAAGTAAGTATTCTTGGGAAATAATCTTATCTACTTGCGTATGGTTGAACTCTATCCTTTAGCGTTCACTTTTGCAACCATCAAGAAAAAGGATACTTGTTGTTGTGTATCACCTTGACTATATGAGCTTTCCGAAGAAGAACAACTGTTTTGAAAGTGTTAATGTGTTCTGTTGACTTAACAATTATTATAAACAGTCCGAATGTTGAAGATGAAGGAACCGGATGTCTGGTCGGAAGAGAATTGGTGCTAGGTTTATCGTGCTGTTTCTTGCTCTGGTTGAAAAAATTACTCTCCTTGAATCAAAGTATTAAGCTTGCTCAATGTTGAAAATTTTTTAGACAAATTTTCCTATTTCTTGGTGTATTGTTTACAATAAACTTTAGTGAGTTGAATACTCACTCCAAAAAGTGATGTTGTTGTTAGAGATGAAATGAATTTGGATGCTGTTTTACACTTGATAGATCCAAAATTAATATCTGCATTACAAAAGATCAAAAATGATCTAAAAAAAAACTTAATTGAAAGTGTTCCTCCAATTTCTAAAATATCAGAAGGATATTTGATGACTAAGGGTGAAGATGTTTACCAAATACTGGATGCACAATTAGATTTTGAAAATATTGTTGATATTATTGAAAAGTCATCTAATACAGAAACTCTTAAACATCATTTAGCAAATCAAATACGTCTGAAACGTTTATTGCCATCTGAAGAGTTACAATTAGTTTCAAATCTCTATAGACATTTAAAATATATGTCACTTTTTTATAATTTATGTCATGATGAAGATAACTATGGATTAATAGATAAAATATATTATATGAAAAAGGTTATCAGATATGTAAATAGTACGACATTTATATCAGATCAAACAAAAATAGGAGTTGCTTCAATTTTAAGATTTTGGGTAATGTTGAAGAAATGTATAGATTATGAACAGAATGATTCTGATTCACTTTCTGATTGTAGTCAGGTTAGTTCTGTGTTTAATGTGATGTGTAATTGTCAAGATGAAGAATATTTATATGAAGAATGTGATTTTGATAGTAGTTTTGATTATCAAGTTATGACCTCAACCATTTCAACTAATGGATTAGAATTATTGTTTAGTATTTTGAGACATAAAGTTCCAAATATGAATGATTTAGAATTATTCCAACAATTAAGGAAAGTTATTGAAATCAAACATATTCATCACGTTTCAGAATCTGCCAGGATATTTTCATTACCAAAATTTAAAATATCTGATCATTATGCCAGACTTAATATTGTGTAGAGTTGCGAGGAACGATGCAACGTTAGTATTTCGACAAATTGTAAACAATAAAATTGAGTTGATAAAAATTTTATGCTCAAAAAAAT